ATGAATTATCTGCAGGTGATTTCGAATTCGGTTCACAGTATCACATGACAATGGAGCCTCAAACCGTTTTCTGTACACCAAACGATGACGGCGGCATTAACTTTCACGTTTCATCACAATGGTTGGATTTGGCCCATGTTGCGGTTTCGCGTTGCCTAAAAATGCCGCAAAGTAAAATCATCGCGAGTTTTAAGCGAGTTGGTGGTGGTTACGGTGCAAAACTTTCGCGCACATCTCATGTCGGTTGTGCCTGTGCACTGGCCTGTCATTTATTACGTTTGCCCGTACGATTCGTAATGAGCATCGAATCAAATATGACCGTCATGGGCAAGCGTTATGGCTGTGCCGTCGAATATGATGCAACAGTTGATTCAGCAACGGGCCGTCTGATTGAGTTTGCACCTTCAATCATCTCGGATTTCGGTTGCTCTCTAAACGATGATGCAACGCCAAATCTGATGGAATCTATAAATATGTCATGTTATTCTCACGCAATGGAATGGAAAGTTAAAGTGAATCGTTTGGAAACAGATGCATCATCCTCAACATTGGCTCGAGCGCCTGGCTCAACGGAATCGATTGCAATTCAAGAGAATCTAATGGAACATATTGCACGAGAGGTTAACTTGGATCCGGCTCAAGTGAGAATAAACAATTTTCACAACAATGGTCCACTGCCTAAAATATTCCCAAAATTCCTTAAAGACATCGGTAATCTCAAAAATTTTAATAAAACTTTCAATGAATTGGATTTCATCATTTCAAATAATAAATAAAAATTTCTTCAGATTATTACGACCGTCGAGCCGAAATCGCTGAATTCAATCAGCAGAATCGTTGGCGCAAACGGGGAATCGGTGTGGCGGTCATGACATTTCCAGCGTCGTATATAGTCCCATTATCCGCATATATTGCCATTTACCATGGCGATGGTACGGTGGCAATTTCACACAGTGGCGTGGAAATTGGACAAGGCATAAATACAAAAGTCACTCAAGTGGTTGCCCATGTTCTTGGAGTTCCATTGGATTTGATCACAGTAACGCCTCACAGCTCAATCATAGTGGCCAATAACACATTCACCGCTGCCAGCATAACAAGTGAATCGGTTTGCATGGCTGCGAAAATGGCATGCGAACGTATTTTAGAACGGTTGAAACCAGTTCGGGAGAAGAAACCGAATGCTCCATGGCTTGAGATCGTTCATGACGCTTGGGCACAATCAATTGAATTAACCGAAAAACAAACGTTCGAAAACAGTACCGCAAAAGCTTACAACATTATTGGTTGTGCATGTGCCGAGCTTGAAGTGGATGTGTTGACGGGGAACTTACAAATTTCGCGAGTTGATATTCATGAAGACACCGGCAAAAGTATGAGTCCATTGGTTGATGTTGGTCAAATCGAGGGTGCATTTATGATGGGTGTCGGCTATTGGTTGACCGAAAAATTGGAATATGATCAGCGTACAGGTGAATTGGTGACCAATCGAACGTGGACATACAAAGTGCCTGGTGCCAAAGACATTCCGATTGATTTCCGCATAAAATTCCTGCAAAATGTCAACAATGATGGGATTTTAAGATCCAAAGCTACTGGAGAACCGGCACTTACGCTATCAGTGGTTACCATGTTTGCTCTGCGACATGCCATTGATGCAATGCGAGAGGACAGTGGCAACAGTAATAAGTGGTATCGCTTGGGTAGGAATTAATCGATCAATGTTTCTTTTTTGTTTATATTTTTGTGCAACATTTCATCCGTTTTCCATTTGAATTAGGATCGGGAAATACACCTGATGTTGTATTCACCACCGCCGAGGTAAACATTGATGACTTTAAACTAAGCTGATCTTCAACATATTTCTATGATTATTGACTGGAAACTGGAATTAAAAGAATACACTAAATAAAATGGACAACCTTTTTTATATTTTTACTTACCTAACTAATTGAAAGAACACTGATTTATCATTTCCATCAAGAACTAAAGAATGAAGCGTTTTTCAATGAAACAGCTGATTGTTTTCAAAATAAATTAATGTAATGGTTATCTAAATCCAAACCAAAATTGTCATTTCATATGTGCGTGCACTTGTGTGGGTGAATAAAAAATGTCAAAAATCAAATCGATCATCAATAATTGATCGCTAGAAAATTATGTCATGAATGATACAATTTACTGAAGGATAATTTTTCTTTGGACCACAATAGAATCAATGACATTTTTTCAAAGAAAAAATTATGTAAATAATCATGATTATTACAATTGCAATTGATTTTTCGATGATCGTATTGGTTTTTAGTTTATGAAACTGTAGACTAGGCTTAACGCATGTCAATACATTGATAAATACAAGATGGTGACATTTTTCAATACACATATTCGCTTATTCAATCAGTCTCTTTGACACCTTCAATCAGTGCACATCGATTTGTGCTGCTCCGTGAATTTCACAATATTGTCAAAAAGAAACGAATTTTTTCCAATCAAATAAACATGACTTACATTATCCAAATCGAAAAAATCCACTCATGTGAAATGGAAAATGTAAGACGCAAAATGAAATGCCATCATCCCGTTTGGATTTTCATTGTTGTTGTTATTGTGTTAATGTTTGGATACTTTTGCCGAGATGGCCTGGAAAGATTCATGGGCTGGGAATCCATTGATGTTCATGAAGCAGAATTAATCGAAGCCCGCAACAAAATGAACCATATCAAACAAGAACATCGTCACCATCCATCAATGCAGCATGATTTACATTCTCCCAATCCACAAAACACACTTACAGCATTTAGCATAAGCGATTCTGTATTAATCCAGAAATTACAACGAGCTGTAATTGAGGAGAACAACCAACAACTTCATCAAGCTCAACACATCTTAAATTAGTTTTGATATGCCTTATTACATTTCTCTGTCATCACAAACACATGTGACTAACCCGTTCAAATGGTAGAAAAAGTAACAGGCGAACATGATATGTGTGAACGACACATTCATACATACAAACTATTCAATAGTTCTCATGTCATTGACTCAGTCACAAATGACGTACAAAATTTACGGGTGTTTCAACTGCCATCAGTGCGAAAAATTAGAAACAAAATTCTAATTCTTTAGTTAGTTTTTTATTCATTAATTTATCAACAATAATTTATCAGCAATAAGAACTGAAGAAAAAGTAAAAAAAAAATTAGTATCCCAAGAAAAAGGGAACGAATACGAATTTAATTTAGTCATGAATCGCATGAAATTAAATAGAGAAAAAAATAATGTTATGGCTATGCAGTATGCATTTCAATGGAAATCATATGACGAAAATTTTCAATGAAAAAAAAAACTTAGAGATTTAGAAAAATGAGAGATAAGTACTGAAACGAATATGAATAAAATATGTTGTTTTCACAATGGCAATCATTGGTTTTTTACTTTCAATTTTATTTATCGGAACAACAGAAAAATTGATTGAAGGAAATGATCATGGTTTGGGAAAGGTTATGCACAATGCACATCGATGTCAAACGTCACCAATAGGTTTGTCGAGTCATTCTGTAGACGCACACACACGCATCCTCCAACGCGTTTTACGCCGTTATGTTGTGTGTTTCTTATTAAACTTCCGTGCACGTTTAGTTTTTCACGATAATCAATGCGTATCAGTGTAATTCAACCACGCACTTCATTAGGTATTCCGAATTGAAGAACGTCTTATTTGTTTCTAAAATACATTTTTCACTTCAAATCCAAACCAGGATCGCAGTATCGTCATAATTTTTTTTTTGCATCGAATAACGAATGAAAGACATTCAGCATGTACAAATCGGTGGATAAATGCCCTAAGATTCACCCAATCATTCCAGCATCCTGCATTATAGTTGTCATTTTGTTCATGCATTATCATCGAAGTGAACTGCGAAGGTTTTTTTGAGAACGATTCGAGAGAGATTGCCACCGGCAACGAGTCCAATGTAACAGCAGCAAGGAATCTCACGAAATGCATTATGAAGCAAACTACAAACAAACGACCAAAATACAACACACAACATCGGAAACACCATAGATATCCGTCCAGGCGAAAAGCATTTGCAAAAACAACGAAATATAACAACAGTGCAAATGAATTATCGAGAAATGAGTGAGTGAATGAAGAAAAACAATAAGTTATGGAGAGCAAAGTGAATAGTGAAAGAAACATTAATTATTATTAATATTGTTTCAAAGGTGTATGAAAGAAACATTTATAAAGACGTAAGTAAATAAACATTTTTTGTCAATCACTACGAATTCCAATCGGATGACTCACAGCATTCGTGCAGCGTCAGGAACTTTTGTGTGAAAATTTATGCAGTTTTCATTTTCACTGTTAAACAAATTGAGAATAAATCATTTGTTTATTCCACAAATTCCAATCGGATGAATCAGGGCCTGAAATTCTTGAAGCGACAACACATTTCATGCAGTGATAGGAAAAATTACGCTTCGATGATGAAAAAAAAACATGCATGATCATGAAATTCTTCAGTATTTAAAACACCATCATTTTGTAGAGAAAATATATAAAATGGAAGAGCAACAAGGGATTGCTATAAATAGAAACGCATCAGCCTTATTGTCTTCAGGCGACATCGATCGATTGAAAAAGAACGTCATTTCTGGAACTCAGGACTAACTCAGGAAAGTAAATTTAAATCAAGCATTAAAATGGTCTCTTGGTATTTTTTCAATTGCCTATTAGCAGTGCATCTGTGTGTTTTGTGTTGCTATATGGCTATGCTGGTATTTCACTACGCAAAAAAGAAGAAAAAAACCAAGCGTGAACGAATGCCACGAAAGATCAAGACATCCTGGCAGAAAATGATGCCGAACGGAAGAAAGTTGCATAAAACCGTACAAAAAATATGGTCAAATCATTGCCCATTTGCCGATTTGCATTGCAATGTTGGCTCATTTTCTTTGGCTAATTCAACGAGTTGCCGATAATGCATGGATGGATGGATGGATGGATGGAGGAGAAACTCAGAATTAAACTATAGTGATCGATAATGTGTGAGCAGGCGTGCATAACAGCAAACATTATAATAAAATCGAACAAACAACAAATTTCCATTGGAATTTTCAAAAAAGGAAACCAAACACCAATTTCACCGCTGAAACCGGCCACATGCACGATCACCACAATTGAATGGGATCATCCAGCAAAAAAGAAAAGCAAATGCGCTACACACTTAATTGGCAAAAAAAGATAACTCTTTTCCACTGATAGAAAAAGTAACAGGTATTCATAAGTGCGACGCACGCATACCGCAATCGAGAAGCCAAGAACAAGTGAACACATACACACGATCTCTGTGTTATACACCATCGCTGGTAGCAGACGCGGTGCGGCAAGTGTGTGCAATGTGGTCGTCGAAAGTAATTCTCTTCTCCTTTATTACCGATTCCTCAGCTACTCTTCTTTCTCCCATTATTATCAACGCATACGCTGCCATAAACACACACACACTCACACGCATCCGTATTCTGAACGCAGTCGTCGTACGCTCAACTTTAGCTGGCAATACGCCAGCATATACATGGCCATTGACCATAACCCACACAAACACATACGCATGCGCGCGCACCGACCGAAGCAAACAAGACAAGACAAGATTTAGTCATCAACGAACCATCAAACTTCAACGATCGCAAAAATTTTCGAATTACCAAAGAAATGGAATACAAACAACTGTGTAAGATGTGTGGTAATTACATGAATGAATTGTATGATGAAATTCTGCTGATCGAAAGTTTTAATAAAAATTGTGTGTTGTTTTTTTCTCTGTTATTTTAGACACCGAAAAATCCTGCTGCCCAAAGTGCCATCCATACATCGCTGGATGCATTGTGGTTGTGATTTTCTTATTTTCTGCTTATCATGCGAATGACATCAAACACTTTGTAACATCATTTTTCCAAATAAATTCCAATGCATCTGAATCACCTGCGAGCGGCCATCCGGAATTCGGCACCGTCGCTGCAGCTATGATTGACAATACAACCACGGCCAATAGCGTTCAATTGCAACAAATGCCAATTTTATTGCTGACCCTAACAATATTGCCGAATATTTTAGTATGAATTATGTTTAAGACATCAGAAAAAATTTCACTTTGATATGATAAGACTACCAAAATATCCTCATCATTTTAGTACTTATTTAAACAACGAAAAGAGAAAAAAATATGTTCCCATAGCATAGGTAGCAAATTATTTTGTTGACTCAAGTTTGTACGTGTTTTATATTTATTAAATGAAATATTTTTTATAAGATTGTGTGTGTTCGTATATGATAAACAAAGCGGAGAGATAAGATATATTGTACTGAATGTAGAATAAAATAAACGAGACATTTTTTTTATATGCGGAAAAAAAACACAAACGTTTGATTTTTATTTGCATAAATAATGCGATTTCAGTTCATAAGAATATTCCGTCGTTTATTCTTCAGACACTTGACGCATTTCAATATTTCGGTTTTATTGTTTTCATTTTGCTCGTTTCATTCTGGTGTTCTCTCCGGATCTGCTGCATATAGAACATGTATGTGCGTGCATATAGTTTGCACTTCGGCACTGGTTTTATTTCATTTCGTGTTTGACCGTCAAACGCATCGCATCTCTCGTCGTGTCATTCATTTATGGCCAAATCGCATATTGCTTTTGTAGCCGAATCGAAAAAGCCGCAAAACCCGTTTCTCTCAATGGCCAACCGTATCAATTCACAGCTGAGCGAATTAACAACGATATCGTCGTCGTTGTCTTCGTCGAACGATTTTTGCGCGAAACTGGCGAAATGCGACCATGTAAACATAGCGTACGTATTTTTGGTGCTGTTTCTCATCGCATTCATTTGTCAACATTCGTGGAAGCGATGGATTGCTCGACAAACCGAAATCGTCATTCAAACGTTAACCGTAAAACTAGGTGCGCATAATTGTTAAGTAAGTTAAATCTCTCCCTCTCTCAGAATACGAAAGAAGATGTACGCGTTGCTTGTTGTTAATCCGTTGTGTTGGTGTTCATAGTAGTAGTAGTACGTTGTCGTTGTCGTTGTCGTTGTCGTTCAAGTCGATTAGATGGGTTTATTTTCTCTTTCTCCGTTTTGGCATTGATTCGGTGCGATCGGATTAAAAATGCATTTCAAATGCCAAACAACGATCCGTAAGTATGTCTATCGGAGCAACAAGTAACAGGCGAACATGAGCACAAAGCTGAGTGTTTCTTGAACCGAGTAAGTAGCAGTCGATCGCTGAACCAAGATCCATACACAGAAGAAGAATGAGTAAAGAGAAAAGCGAATCAAAACATTAACACACACTCATCACGCCATCTATCAATGGGCTTTGTGATCTGCAGTGAAAATCATCTGGTCACATCATAAACAAAAATAATCTCAAATCAACATAGTCGACCGTGTTTATTCATTGTGTCCGTAGGCTTTGACATTTATACACGAAGGTATTTCGTTTCGAAATTCTGGTCTTTTTTTCGGAGTGTATGCCATCAACTCGGTTTGAAATTGATTCAAGTTTGTTTTATTTTTGTAGTTTTGCAGCGACAGTAAAAATGAGCGGTCGAGCAGTTTTGGGTGCATTTGTTTTGCTAGCAGTGATTGTGATAGTGATCATGATTTTTCGAAGCGATGATGATACGCCAATGGAACAACCAAAAGTGAATATTTGTCGACAAAAGGAAGAGCCATCGTACAAGGAATACTTGGTCGAAAATAATTTAAATGACCTGCAATTGAATGATAATTTCACTGACATCGATATCGTGTCGCAGAATGTGGTGGTTCGTGCGCACAAAGTGATTTTAGCGGCGCATTCTGCATATTTCGATTCGATGATTTGGTTAAGTAACAAAACGGATGCAAATGATAGAGATAGCAAAGATCGCCTTGATTTGCCATTCGTTGATCACAAAACCGTTTCGCACGCGCTGAATTTCATCTATACTGGTTCATTGCCCATCGAACTATTCAACAACGAAGACGAATATAGCAATTTATTGCGAGCGGCAACCGAATTTCAATTGGATTGGCTAAAATGTGAGATGTCAAAGCGTTTGAGCATACGGATTAATATAAAAAATGCCGGATCGTTGGTTGTGCTGGCCGATGAGACCGATTCCCGATTCCTGATGACCCTCGCATCACATTTTCTACTCGAACATTTCCATGAGATTAGCAAAACAAAGGAGTGGCAACAGTTGGTCAACAATCATGCAAACGTTTTAGCAAATGCGATTGATTTTCAAGGTAAACTACCTGCAAATGTGAACTGCGATATTCAATGTCAACCGTCAACAGTGGCAACGCCATCCGGTTTCAAGAGATTGCGTCGATTCTTTATCACCCAACGCTATGCTGATGCCGAAGTGCATGTCGATAGCGGAACCGGTAATGGGAAAAAAGTGTTTCACGTTAATCGTGCCGTTCTAATTGCTCAAAGTCCAGTATTCCGGCAACAATTTGCCGACTCACCAAATGTGATACAAATGCTCAACACCAGCACTGACGCATCCGAAGACTTTCTCATTTTCATGTACAGTAGCTGGCCAGCTCAATTGAAAAAATTAACCGAACCTCTACTATATTTAAGTGATAGATATCAAATGGTTGCCCTAAAAAAAGCATGCGAAGATGTCATCATAAATGGTATGACCGTTGAAAATGCAGCGAACATCGTTCAAATTGCCGACAAAGCCAACTCAAAGCGATTATCATCGGTCGTATTGGATTTCATATTAAAGCATCGCAACCAAGTAGTGGCGACAAAAGCCTGGGCCGAATTAAAAGAGAAAAATCCAGAATTACTAGCCAAAATATTTTTTAATTTACATTAATTAAGGGATTAATTAGCTGTCGTCGTCCAATCAACAAGTTAATGTAGAAGTCAGGCCAATAGGATCTATTGGTCCAATTTTTTTTTCGAGGGATACATATTTTCTTTATATATAAAATACGATTAACAATTTTAACAAATGAATGGATTAGCATTTTTATTTTCATGACTTTCAATTGAAATCAACCGCTCTTGTCTTTGTGTTGCATTTTTATTTGACAGATTCACTTGATTGTGTCAAACGCAATGGGTGAACATAACCTAAAACAACATTGACCATCTGCACGGTGGTGTTAGTTTGAACCGGTGAAGCGAATAGTGTTGATACTTTGTTTGTGAGTGCAGCTGCTTCGTCAGATTCGAATAAAAATCCATTTGGCTTGAATTAATAGTTCATCGGACAAAATGCAGGCCGAAAATGTCGGTTCACAATGGGATATCATGATGAATGTGCTGATTGACAGCGGAAAATATGTGGATAAACAAGTGTTTCGCTTTTCGGGAGAATTATCAACAATCGATTTCTTGAACCAAAATTCAACACTCAGGTGAGATATGCAATTCAGGTTTTATTTGGTGCTGTTTTTTTTTTGTCAAAAGAAAATTAAGAGGAAAAGATGAAATTCATGCAAAAGGCGAAATGTGCCAAAATGGAAATGGAACGGAAAATTAATAATTTTTCATTGTAAATGATACAACGAAACCACATATTGAAAAACACTTTTTTTCTTACCTCATTCAACAGCGATAGCCTACGTCGATGGATTACAAAATTGAATGAAACACGCACACGCTCCGTCAATCTGACCAATCGTCTTCGGCAAGGTGGCAATCAGTATTTTGCCGAGATTGTCGAACCATTCGATGTAGCAGCCGATTATTATACAAAGGCCATATTCAGTGCGCCAAAAGATAGCGTCGAACTGGCATTAGCCCATGCCAATCGAGCCGCTTGCTATTTGCGTATGCTGGAATTTATGGAGGTAGGCGAAATGTTTGATTTTTACATACTCTTCAATTCAATCGGAACATTTTTGCTCCCCAATTTTTGTGTCCCAATCGTTAACGTTGAATATTTGCAATTTTTAGGCAAATTCGGAGTAATTGACAATATTTCGAACATTTCTTCTGAATGATACAAACTCTTGATTCGAAACCAAAATATCGTCATTTTTCATTTTTAGGAAGGTTACCATGACTGCGAACTGGCTTTGAAATTCAATTATCCGATGAATAAACGTGATAAGTTGCTGGAACGGAAGTTTTATTTGGGCAAAAATGTTGAAGAAAGACAAGTGGCGCTTCGGGAAATGGAGGAGCTAGTCGAAAAAGAGATATTCATGGAGAATCAAATGAAATGTAAATGAGATTTAAGTTGTTTGTTGCCAATCAATCGTAATTTGACCGTTTTTTCTGCCAAATGTAGTACCGAAGCTGCGCAAGTTGCTTGAAGATATGCGGGTTCGAGGCGAAGAATCAAGTAAAACAAAGCCAACGGATGATATGTTCGAAAATAAGCAAACAATTGAGTAAGAGTTGCAATGTTTATGAGAAAGGTTAAAATACCCTCATTGATTGATGAATGTTGTGTTATTTATTTTAGAAAATTCAACGAATCGGTTGGACGCTATGTCATTGCTGGCGAAGACATCAAAAAGAATCAACCGATTTACCGAGAAAAGGCGTTTGCTTTTGTGCCCGTTTACAATGATTATCATCCGGACACAATCCCGTATCATTGTCAGAATTGCGCGAAAACCAATTGCATTCCATTTCCATGCTACGCATGTGCTCGTGCATCCTATTGCAGTCCAACGTGTGTCGACCAGCACAAAAGTATCCACAAGTTTGAGTGTGCTGGTTATCAGAAAAATTTGTGGATGAAAATCGGTATAGCTCACTTGTCATTTCGTAATTTTGTGATTGGTTTTGCTGATGCAATCGAGCGACTTAATCAAACCGATGCGACCGCTGAGCAAATATTGGAAAAACTTACGGCAATAAATGAAGCAGACTTTGTGTATGGTGATGTACTGCGGCTGGTTACGAATTTTGATAAAATGGACACAAGTGATTGCCTACGATACGCACTCACAGCTCAATTGCTTGCCGTTTACTTGGATGAATGTACCGATTTTTTCACGAATTTACCACAAAAATGCAAACAAATCATGCCGAATGTGGATGACTGGAAGAAATTCACGGCTGCTGTTCTTATGCGGCACATTGGACAATTGGTAATTTATTATGATTCTATTCGTTGGACCCACGTTTCAAAATCTGAAGGAAAAAAACAAACAATTCATAATCGCTATTTTGCTCTAGGTTTCAAATGGTCACGCCATTTCGGATATTGAATTGATGCCGCCTAGTCTTTGTGACCATAGCTACCGCGATACCGAAACTATAATGGTTCATGATCTTCATCTCGTGACATCTTCATCTCGCATTTTCACTGCAATCTTCCCCAAAGTCAGTATGCTCAATCATTCGTGTGACCCGAACATCTCCAACCGTTTCAATGGGCCATTTCTGAGCATTTATGCTTCACGCGATATTGCCAAGGATGAAGAGATCTTCAATTGTTACGGCCCAAACTACAAGCTTATGTCGAAGGGAGAACGTCAAGCAGCACTCAAGCAACAGTATTGCTTCGATTGTAAATGTGAGAAGTGCTCCAACAATGATCAAACATTCATGAAATATCACGAGTACATCTGTCCGAATGGACAGTGCCGTTCATCAATTGCAATCGATTTCCCGGAACGTCAATGGTGGCACTATCTGCATGATGACCAACTTATGGCACAACTTATGTCGAAATTCAATTGCAAAAAATGCAAAAAAATACTACTATTGAATCCACGGTCGTTGAAAGATTTCTTCGAGGCAACCAGCACCGAGAACGATCTCGAATTTCAATTTTATCGAAAACGGCGAAAAACCGAAACGGCCGCGTCTTACTACATGACTGTGTCCAAGTGTTTGTCAAAGTATCACGAGTTGAAGACAGTCATGGCACAAGCGTTGCTACGGTATCAAATGCATGGTGAGTAAATAGAATTGCTAATGAATTACAGAAGACCCTCAGAAATTAGAAGATTATCTTCTAATTTCCGAGTCCAATTTTCTAGATGCGATTTATTCATTCACAGCATTGTAGCTGTTGAGTAGTTTATTACTTAAACGAAATATTTGACCTGAAACTAAGTATGATTTGCAATTTTTTGATGCTCTTGCAACAAATGCGTGCATGTGTCATCAAATGTATTTTCTTAGAAAACAACAAAAACAAATTATTGATTACTCAGAGAATTGACATAGAAAATTGTGTCTGATTTCAATAAAATACCATTTAATTCAAATTTCTTCGTCTCTTTTTTCAGTTGATCAAAAAGAAATATTCGCGACATTGGCATACATCACCGTCGATAACTATGTGATTTGTCGTGAGCGTTTCGGGCAATTTAGTTTGGAAACGGTAATGGCAATAACATATGCTCTGAACGTGCTGCTAATGGCCAAGGAATTGGAGTTGGACAAAAAAATGCAAAAGCTATTGCCGGAAATTGAGAAAATCCGAAAAGTGCTCGATGTCAAGAAGATGGAGAAATCGCTGACGATCTTATCGGAACCAATGCAGACGATATTCAAAAATGCCATCAAAGAAATCGACGAAACGGTGAAGCTCAACGATCGCGTATCAAAATTTAATCTAGAAAGCGATGATGATCATGACGATACAGTGTCACTGGCAAGTGATGATGATTCAATAGATTGAGTCATTTTTGTTTTGCTTTACAATGGAAAAAATCCATTTCTTTGACATAAAAACAATTAAATAATAAAAATTTAAAAATGAATTCCAGACAATATTTGCACATTCTTATATACTGTATTGCTCCAAAAATACAGAAAATGATAATGAGAAATGTATAACAAAATGTTTGATTAATTAAACAGACAAAAAAAATTTCATTTGTTTTGATTTTTCATACATTCTAACAACATTTTTGGCAAATCATTCGAAGATAGACCAATACCATTTTTGTTACCATGTCAGAATTGTTGTGGTAATCTAATCTGTATAATGTTTATTCAATAATGTACAAATGCATTTATTTTTACACGCTACCTACATCACCATAATAACATGAGAATCCAGACACTGATAATGTTGATGTTTGTAGTGCGCACAATCATATCGTTGAGCTGCGCTCTTGTTCAACCAGTTGTTAGACACATCTAGACGAGTGATCATCTATTGTATGTGCTTTGCTTTTTTGTCAGCTGATTTGCTTCTGGGTCAATTTTTATTTTTCGATTATAATTTCGTTCGTTCGTTCGTTCGTTCATTCATCGTAACTATAGTCAACTCAAAATCATTCAACATGTCGGCAGGTGCATTCAAGAACATCGAAGAAAGCCTAAGTAAACATTTACCAGAAGCCGAATTAAAAGAAGTCAAACGCATATTGTACGGCCGATCTGACGAGTGAGTCTATTTTACACAAATTGATTGTAATTAAATGATTGTCATTCATTATCGCATCACTACAAGTTCGACTCAATTTTGAGAGAAAGAAATTTCGAGTGGTTTTTGGTTAATAAAAATGATTGAATATATTATGAATTCGAACCAAAGTTCATTCAAAAGTGTACCTGTTTGACATGATAATTTATGTGTTTTTTTTCTGTTTATTTTTCTCCATTGTTGACTTGTTCACTTGTTTTATACTTAACTCGTTTGAAACGTAACACAAACGTAGTCATAAATTGAAATTAGATGCAAAAACGCTTGAAATTGCTGAGCAAAATAACTTCGAAGTAAAAGGCTATTCATTTGATGCAAAACCAGAAGAATTAAGGAAACCACGTATCGTTCGGGTAATTAATATAATTTTGTTTTGTTTTATTTTAAAATATTTTTTTTTTCAAATTTTACAGTCAAAAGTTGAAATTGAAAATCTTAATTTCAACTAAAATTTACTCAAAATTCCAAATTGAAATGATAAAAAGGTTAATATATTCATACAGCGATCTATCTGATTTTATTCTTAAAAAAAAGGTTGCCGCTGTTCAGCATTCTATTGTTCTTCCAACAACGGACAAAATCAGTGCTCAACGTGATGCAATCTTTGAGAAGGTGGGCAAAATCATAAAGGCGGCGGCTGCTTCAAGTGTCAATGTCATTTGCTTCCAAGAGGCATGGAGTAAGTTCTAGACTATTTTCTCATCTTCTCTTCTGTATGGCAAAAGACTCCCGTATGATCGAAGGGCTTGCGACGCCTGAAATACGGCAATATTTTCATATATTTCTATATTTCTGTCATATTCCGTCATATTTCAAATATTTGGAATATTTGATATATTTAAGGCATATTTAAGCCACATTTTGACGTTTTTTGGTATTACCCGATATTATTTTGACTATATCTATATGAAATATTTCTCTCAATTTTCAAATATATGAAATATTTGAAATATAGCCAAATATGTCAAACATACGAAATATCAAGATGCATTTTGTAAACAAATAATGCTTCAATATTTGAAATATTTGACATATTTGAATATATTTGAAGATATTTCATATATATTTGTTCGTCGCAAGCCCTTCGCGTATGATATAAATATCTGATGTGTTATTGCTGTGGTGGGCTGAACGCTACCTGTAGCTCATTGTATACACACACGGTATATTGTCACACAGTGTGTCGTCAATGTTTATTTTTTATTTTTGTTTTCGTTTTTCTTTCGCTCATTTTCTTTGCGGTAAATATGAAGGTGTGTATACTGTGTATATACATAGTATATTTTTATCGTACAGTTTGGAATAGTAAAAGATAATCGAGCATCGAATTGAATGAATAGACATCAAAACAAACATTTAAAAAAAGCCAAAACAAGACAAAACCATGCGATTTTAATGAGATGCATGTGTTATTACCCATAGATATGCCATTTGCATTCTGTACGCGTGAGAAGCATCCATGGTGTGAATTTGCTGAAGAGGCTGAAACTGGCCCAACCACACTCTATCTGCAGGAAGTAAGAAACCAAACACTTTTGAAAAATCAACATATTTTCATGACACCATCATCGTTTGACAATAATTCCAAATCTCGGTTTTTAGTTGGCCAAATTGTATGGCATGGTGATCATTTCATCAATTCTAGAACGAGACTCAACCCACGGAGATACATTATGGAATACATCCGTGGTTTTATCCAGTTCGGGCAAATACCTTGGCAAACATCGTAAAAATCACATTCCCCGCGTTGGTGACTTCAACGAATCAACGTATTATCTCGAAGGTAACACTGGTCATCCGGTGTTTGACACTGAATTTGGTAAAATTGCTATAAACATCTGCTACGGTCGGCATCATCCACAAAACTGGATGATGTTTGGATTGAATGGTGCCGAGGTCGTTTTCAACCCATCAGCAACGGTATATTTTTCCAAACAAATAATGTATTTTCCGATAGATGAGTTGAAAAAAAAAAACGATACAATATAATGGAACGAATGTGAAATTTATTAAAATTTTTCGGATGTAGGTTGGTGCTCTGAGCGAACCACTGTGGGGTATTGAAGCACGAAATGCGGCCATCGCCAATAGCTTCTTCACGGTTGCAATCAATCGTGTGGGAACGGAACACTTTGTCAACGAATTCTCATCGGGCGATGGTAAACCAGCACATAAAGATTTCGGACCATTCTATGGCTCAAGCTATGTAACCGCACCAAATGGCCACAGAACACCGGTATGAATATGATTTATAATTTCGAAATGTTTCTTTTTGCTGATAAATATTTTATCAAGACTACTAAGAATCAACTAATAAAATGCTGTGTTTGCTTCCAAATCTAGGGATTGTCTCGTGATCAAGACGGTTTGTTGATTGTCGAAATGGATTTGAATTTGTGTCGGCAAGTGAAAGATTTCTGGGGATTCCGTATGACACAACGATTGGCTGAATATGGTCGTGACTTCAGTCGTGCTGCCGAAATCGATTTCAAACCACAATTTATCAATTAATACTATTTCAAATCGAAATGCTTCCATTTGAACAACGAATAATGCCATCTTGTTCCATTTGAAATTCTTTTTATTGTGTATTTTAAAAAAAATAATGAAATGTTTTGATTAAAATCTTTAAATTTACCATGAATACATTCATAGATGAGTACAACACATTATTACATTCAATATGTATTTATTGTGTTCTGCCTTACTAAATTCGTGAATTTTTTTTTCCTGCGAATGAAAATAGGCTAAAAAAAATTCAATTTCTTCTACTATCTTAATTATGCATATTTGAATTGATCATATTCATATGTCACTGAGACAGTCAATCACTTCGCAACCATATATCAAAACAAAGAAGGGAGCACACGACTCGGTGCAAACAGAACTTCGAACAATTTGAGAAGTGCTATATGTGTATATGCATTGTTTTGAGTCTCCTTTGTATTTATCATATTTGAGTTGTTACACTTCTTTTCACAAATTACCTGAAGCTTTACTGCTATCCGCACCACTTTATACACTATCTTATGCATACGTGTGTGGCATACACTGTGTACCAAACAATGATCAGTACTCGGAACGAAAATCAAATAGCATGAAGGCAAAGAGAATGAAGAAGCCATAGAATTTCCCTTTATTACCTCTCCACTGATTGTACTTTGTAGGTATTTCTTCCATTTCAGTCACAGCTGTAGTGTATTTACCTGAAATCTAGGAATTGCACGTGGTCAAGACGGTTTGTTGATTGCCCAAATGGATTTTAATTTGTATCGGCAAGTGAAGGATTGCTAGTGATTCTGCATAAGATTGTCCATAACACAATAATCGGCTGAATATGGCCGTCAATCTCGATTTCAAATCACAAATCATCAATTGATTCCATTTCCAATCGAAATTTTCCATGTGAACACATACACACAAACAAAATAAAAATATCATTCACTTTCAATTGAATTTTTTTATTGTCAAATAAATAAATATACACAATTGAAATGTTTAAATCTTTGTCATTTGTCATAAACATACGGGTTTCAGTATTAGATCATTTGTCTTTAATTTCATTTCCATATTCTTCATGCAGCACAGATTAGAATGCATGAGATAAACTGAGTTGGATGCAAATTGAATTGAATTGTAGGGTCGGATAATTATTTATTAATTGTTTGTTGTTGCTTTCGATTGTATGGTTTCATGTATGAATATGGTAATTCTTCGGATTGTTTTTTGTTGTTTTTTTTTTTGTTGCTGTTAGTATTTTTTTTTTATACTTCTAAAATGGTTTAACAGTTTGGAATTTTACATTTTTTTACAGATTGGATGAGGTAAAAATTCGACGCAGACACTTTCATTCGGAATTTGTTTGTGTGATCCATTTTGATTGGTTTCCGTTCGTTTATGTTTGCACTAAAAATTCCGATTGAAAATGCTTATATACAGTATTTTATTCAAGCGACACTACGGCGTACTTCTCATGCTTACACTCACTCTCACTTTCTCTCTCTCTCTCTCTCTCAATGCTAGGTGTAAAATAAACATCAACTCATCGTTAGAGTTGCATTTCGTAATTCATTCTCTATTTCAGTTTGTTCTTTACAGCGTTGTTTTTCTTTTTTAATTTTATTGATTTGGTGTAAAGCTTTCTGGATTATTATTTACTTCGATGGATGGCTTACAATAACTGCTTTAAACGTTAGTATTTTTCATGTTTGGGTTCGACAAGTGCCTATGTTTGTGTTGTTTGTTGGTTTCAAAGAGGAAATAATTCATTCAGTTTGAATATTGATGCATTTTCCATTTGTTTTGTTTGTTTAAAAACCAATTTGAGTTTTTCTTTCCTAAACGAATTGTGCTCTTCTCTTCCAATCTCTCATCAAGAGAGATTGGAGAAATTGAATTGGCAGAAATGGTAATTGTTCTAAGAGTTTAGTTATATGTAAATTCCTTTCAAATGAACATACTGGATAAGAAAGATAATATTTAATTGGCGAGTGCAAAATACCCGTTGAAATAAAAACTGTTCTCAGTTTGAGATTTGACTTAATGTGGTTGTCTTAATTTGAATCATCAATTACAATACGTGAGTATTTTTGCTTAACTTCTCGTCTGTTCTGACACAAGCTCAACGCATTTATAAATGTCGTCGATTTTTTTTATATTTTCTGGAGTTTTTCTTTTAGTTTTTATTTTTTGGTTGGTGTTTTTTTCATTCAATATCCATTTAAACTAGAAATATATAATTTTGTTAAATACTACAACAAAAATATCTTTTTGCACGTTAACCCAAGTGTGTGTTTCTTATGTTTTTTTTTTTTTAATTTATTTTGGTTTTGGATGGGATCATTGAAATTAATTGAACAACCTGTGTGTTGTTCTCGCTAAAATTGTTCCGTTATATATAATATATCATTTGTTTTTAAATATATATATTTGTTTTAAATTCAACGATTTCTTCGGGTAATTTTATCATAAATCGGAGGTAATTGGGACACTAATTTCTCTGACTGACCGATGATGATGAGAGGTCGTTTGGTTGGTTTTTCATCGTTAGAAAGTTGATGCTTTTTCTGGTTTGGATTCTGTGAATTGTCTAATGAACACAAATTATTGCACCCATGAACTTGGCGCCCATAGTGGCTCAGTTTCGGCCCGTTCTACGCACACAAGCAATTGCTCCAAGGCAGTGGCTAAGGTTTCATTCACGATTTCCTCATCAAAGAAATGGCCATACAAAAAATTGATGCGCTCATCTGAAGTAATCATTTCATTGAACTCATCATCCTGTTCGACATTAGAAGAAAGAAAATGTAAAAAAGAACAAGTCACCAAAATGAAAATCGAAATGTACGTACCGTGAAACCTCTCGAGTTCAATTCATCGAATGTGGATCGTGCTCGATGTGCTTCTCTGGTCGCTTTCAATCGATCGAATGACGGTGTTCGAATATGAATGATGAATGGCTTTAGCTGTGGCGTACGCAACGATTTGATTGCTTGATAATGTGGGCTCAGTACACAAACATGCCCTGAATTAACAATCGCCTTAACACTTTCGGCTGATGTGCCGTACAAGTGTCCCTTGTATTCACCACTCTCGATAAATTTTCCGGCTGAAACGTCTGCCTCCATTTTATCACGGGTGACAAACAAATACTCTCTACCAGGAACTTCACCAGGTCGCATTGCACGTGTGGTATCTAAATTGGTTTGTGATAAGAATGAAAGAAACAACAACAATACACAATCAAATTATGTTAGGTAAAAATGACTCGAATTCAACACTTACATGGCACTGGGCTGCGATATTTGTCGGGATTACGGGCAACCAGTCGTCGTTTCAATTCGTTTCGGCCAATGCCCGGTGCCCCAATCAGTACAATTGGCCGATAGACACCCGGTCGTGGATACAATTTTGACACTTCTTCGTATGTGGCAATGAGTTCGCGATCGAAATCGTCATTTTCATCTAAGTTGTACATAATCTTTTTAGTTTTTGGTCCACGACACGTGATTGTATTTGAATCGGGTGAAGGAGGTGGTGTTGAACAAATTGATGCACATGAGCCTTTTGATATGTATCGTGCAATGTGGTTTTGTTTTGTTTTTTTTTTTTTTTGGTTACATGAAGAGGAGATAGATGTTGTTTTGCCAATTAGACAAAAGATTTTTGTAGCCGCAACAATTTCCGATGGGGAATTTTCAACGTGTGTTGGTGAACGGGTGAATATGACAACATACAGTTAATGATATTGGATGAAATAAAGAGAAAATTATTCGATTATTGGTTAAGACTGGCACATGCAATGCAATGCAATATGACAATAATTTATGATGATTTGACGAGAAAATGGGTATTTACTTTTCGTGTCTCCGTTCGTTTCCTTTTGCGTGCGCTCGTGAATGATACGCCGTTCTTGTAGCGCTCGACTTGGTATCAAACCAGCTCGCGAAGTTCGTTCGCATTCTTTTCGTGCTTGCCACCAGTAACCATCGTCCTACATTTCGTAATCGAATTGGTCATTATTTGCTTTATTCCAAGGAGAAGGAAAAAAACGGTCAAATACCTGTCCAACGATATGCAGAATTTCACCACGAGTGAAACCCAAACCAGCCTCTTTGCACGGAATGTACGGGTCATTTTCCGGATTGTATTCGAAATGAGCCCGAACACGGACCTTACTCTCACGTTGTCCGCTCTTTCCATCTGATGGCACCAGTTTGAACGTAATTGTTCCCTCTGAATTTTGCTGCAAACATTGGAAATGGAATGGCATTCAAATAATCGTACAGAACTTTTTGTCCCGTGAGACACGTCAATATAAATTTAGTCATTCTTTTTTTTCGCTCATTCGGATGAAAAACATTTAATTGCCCATGGCTGGTCATTTACTTACCAAAATCGTTAGCACATCGTTTGGAGTTTTTCCTTCAACATTAATGCCGTTCACCTCAATCACCTCATCGCCGACATGTATCAAACCAGATCGATCGGCCGCACCTCCGTGCATAATACGTGCAATGATAATTTTGCCGGTTTCTTCATCTGTTTTAATAGTGGCACCCTGCAATAACGGTATGGCATTGGCCAAATTAATCGACGGTCCAAGGAATTGTGGTCAAGCATGGCATGCTTCCATTGACTACACTGAATATATGCAAGACTCATCTACATATTTATTCTACAGAAATATAACAAAAACCATTTGTGAAAATTTCATGATTTATTTAGATCCTTTCTCTATTGATAGTATGCCGTTTACTTGGGCATCAATCAAAATCGATTCAAACCATTCATGAAATTTCCATAACACCATTCATTCATTGATTTTCGAGCGCCTAATTATTACTAGACATACGCTACGAATTAATTTAAAATAAAGAGAAGAAATTTCATTTCGTATTTTCCACCGTTTTTATCATAAAACATAAACATACACAAATATGAAACATTCACAACACGAACGTTACTTACGACTATTGGTTCCGCACTTTGCTGTGCTCCAACCTTTTTTTTTAAATATCATTCAGTTTTGATTAAATTGGTTTTGGTTTTTTATTTAGAGTGTTTGTGTGAATTTTTGTGGTTGTTGTTTTGTTTTTCATTTTCATTTCGATTGTTTTTTTTTGCATTGCGATTGATAAATTTGGATTTGTTTGATTTATTTTGCGGCAAATCATAAACGACAGATTGGTTTTGATTTTTGTGTGTTTGTTTTTGGATCAAGACACGGATAAAAAGTATTTGGAAAAATATAATAGATGGTTATTATTAATTAAATTTTCATTGCAATCAATATATAGTTCAGAGATGAATTGATGGATTTTAATTTCGATTAAATGCGTACATGAGAGAGTAAAAAAGGAAATGAAAATGCCAAAATAAACATTCAAATGGAGTAAATCAAATTAAAAGGCAATTAACAAGTGAATCAAGAACACTATTATTTCGAAATCATTCAACAACAAGAACAGAAGAAACAAAAAAATAATTCAATTTGACTATATTGATTGTGGTGGTGCTTATCTGTGATTGTTTTTGTATTGTGTAAGTGTGCGTGATGGAGAGAACGAGTTGTTTCGATAAACGTTTCATCGTCTCTTTGTGTGTTGATCTTTTTGTGTGAAGTAATTTGTGTATGTTTTTGTATTTTTTTTTTTGAATTTTCAAAGAAATTTTGCACAAAATAGTTGGTTTTTGGACAGCAGGAAAAATGATGGGCTTTTTTATGGGTGGGATAAACATATAAACCGAAGCGTTTTAAAAGAAAAAAAAAAAAGAAAAACTTATGATGATTAGATGTTCCTTTCGGAATGAAACGTCTAAACAAATGTTTTGCTTTGTACAATGCGAACTCTTATACATACCAGTGGTTCATTGCTTTTCACCAATTGTACTATTTTCACTGTTTCTTCGTCCTCATCCACCTCGATCGGTATGTCTGGCAAGTGTGGATAAAAATCTTTCTGTGCTATTGCATCATGTGAAGCCAACAAACTCTGTATCAACGCCAAAAAACCGAAACAAAGAAAAATGTGTTAGAAAAAAACGAGCGGAAACGAAAAAAAAAATGAGGTTTGTAATCTCATGTTGAGACATGTTTCAAGCTAAATACCATTTGGTAAAAGTTGAAAATCAAAAATATGCAAAATAGGCGACAAATGAAAAAATAATGAGAATTCTTCAAATCAAAAATTAAAAAATAGAAAAATTCATCCAAATCTTTGGGAAAAAGTCAAAGGGCTTCAAAGAAATTGTGTTCAAAATCTCACCTGAACATGAGGCTTTTGAAGTAAATAAAAAATTTCCTTGCATAACGGAGAAATATGGCAACGCTGTGATAACTGCTCCAACACTTCTAATGCTACCTGTTTTTTTTAAAGAAAGAGATGGAGAATTAAAAGGGATAAAGAATGGGATTTATGTAAAAAAAACACAGAGAGAAAAGCTATCCATTTGTGAAATGATGAGATTGCTCATCAGCATTTTTGCCGATTGAATTGCAAACAACATGAATCACCTGTATCGAGCTGGACATGAGTGGTGCACATTTTTCATCTTTGATCACTTTCCCAACTTTGCTATGTACATTGACCAATGCGTTAATTTCCTTTGATTCCAGTAGATTTTGCAGGAAACCCAGTTCCTGTTCGCTGGATAAACTTTCTGCTTCTTTTAATGATGTCACTAATTTTGACAGAACTGCAACAATAACAACAACGACAGAAATCATGAAAAACGAGTTGAAAAGGTGACTTGCCTTGGGCTATTACATGAAAAACCAAGCGAGTGTACATAACAATATGTTTGTTTTTTTTTTTTCAATTGTTGGCGGTTTCTCCTTCGAAAGGATTCTACTCATAAGTGAACTGTATCTTCAGCGAGATTATTTCGGAGTTTTCAACCATTCCGACGCCGGAATGAATATTCAACATTTTAGTATTAAAACTTGTAAACTAGTTCTATCACACGCAGGAGGGAAAAAAATTGTGCATACATTCTTTCAGTTGAAATCCCGTGTGGAAAATTTTTGACTGACTATTCAGTCGATTAATTTGGGATATTTTGACTGACTAAAAGTGATTGTCTCGAACAAAAAAAGCAACTGCAGTTAACTTTAATCACAAATCACTCTTAGTCAAAATGTCCCAAATTAGTCGACTGACTGAAAGAATAACTAAACGTGATTGTCTCCATACAAAACGCATGATTTCAATGAACTTAGCCAGTTTTAGTTGTGTGTCACTACATACAGTTACATACAACTGAGTGACTGCTAGTCATTTTATTTGCACACGGGATGTTCACAAGTTTGTTTTTTCTGCGTCGTTATTTCCCATTCATTGGACGAACAAAACCAAACTAGAAGAATAACGTGTGCAAACTTTTCGCAAACCAGAGTTTTCGCTGGCTCACTGAATACGCTCCGATTTTTTTTGTTCATTATTCAAATGAAATGAGATACTACTTGGCTGGCGAATGCAAGTTTTTAGTTGGCAATTTTCTATATTTCATACAACTCATGCATGTCTAGCGACATGGAGAGTTGAATGTAAATTGACACTGGATCTGTTATTCGAAGCCCTCTTCCATTTGCAACCAATGCCTGCTAACAATTGACTTTTATACCTGTCAAAACGTTCGCAGCGCCGCAGTAGTCATTTTTGTAATGTAAAATACATTCAAAAAAATTCAATAGAAAAAAATCATAGCGAAAATTTTTCATTCCCTTTTGTGTGGATCTTCTTCGAATACAGTAAATTATTTACTACTATAATCGCAAAACTAACTATGTTGGATGCAGACAAATTGTTTTCGTATTTCCATACGATTGACAGAATGCTGTTACCCATTGTTTGCAACGGATTTTTAATTGTGAAAACAAAATACATGTTCACTGAAACCAATCGCAATTCAGTGATTCGAACTGGAATTTACATTTCTCGAATTTAAAACGAACAACTTGAACCGATTTTCGAAATGCAAATGTTTTGCTTAATTTCTTCTCGACTGAGATAACAAAAATATAAATGGCTCAAACTGAAATATTCCCAAGCAAAAATTCACACTGAATTGACGTTGCGTTAACGAATATCTGACACTGTTCCCACACGGTTTTGAACGTCAAACCGTGTGGCTATAGTATAATAGAATTTGAAGCCGTTTGACATCATTTTTGATTTCAAATAACCGTGTGGATGCAGCGTAAGTTTGTTCAGGTATCAAGAGTCGACACCAAAAATGGTTTCAAAATTCGTCATGATAACGTTACGGTCATACACTTCGGCGACATGGTTTTAAATGTAGAACAGTGTGGCGGACTTCCACACTGTCCAATACAAACATAAACTGCATCCACACGGTTATTTGACATCAAAAATGGTGTCAAACGACTTCACACTCTACTATACTATAGCCACACGGTTTGACGTTCAAAACCCTGTGAGAACAGTGTCAGATATGTGTAAACGCAACGTCGATTCAGTGTGAATTTTTGCTTGGGATTGGCTGTTTGGTTTAGACTTACCTGGATCATAACTAGCATCGGCAGCCATAACTGCAGCTGTCATTCTAAAATGTCTGTTGGTCCCGAAAATAGAGATGGGTTAGATGGGTATTGATTACATCGTTGCGCATATTGATGTGAAGAAATGTGAAAATTGGCACTTGGTTTTGTGTTTTCGAAATGGGAATGAAACGAGTTGATCAATAGGAAAATAGAAAACTTCCACAAATATAGGCTAATTTTCTGCTGTCAATCAGAAAGAAGTGCATTGATGTTTCTCTCACTCGCTCACTCGCTCCCTTGCTCGCTCCCCGAATTTTAGCGATTGTGTCGGCTTGATCAAGCACAAATTATTTGACTAGCAATTCGACATAAATCTTCGAAATTTATTTCATTCATTTTTTATATATGACCATACGAAATATGCACAACCAAAAATAGAGCAATATTTGCGACATGGTATTCAATTTAGAACAAGCGGCAATCCATTTCATTTCATGGGAAAATTCCAAGTGGTTTTTGTTTCGATTTCGTCGTTTGTTGGTTGCTTAATTTTGCTCCAACTTCCTTGTGTTGGTCATCTCAGAAATTGGTGTGTCATTTACCAATAAATTAATTATGCGCTCGTCGTCTTCCAACGTCATTAGCGAAAAACCGAAGCAACCGCAACAGCAGCAGCAACGGCAGCAAATGTTATTTTTAGTCAGTAGGTCGTCGTTGAAATTGTTTCAAGCGCAAAGAACCCAGTTGATTGCTAGATTGATTGACTGCGGTACGGATACAAATGCATTGAGTTGATATTGTAGCCAAAAACCGCGGGCTCAGACACTATACACTACTCCTGGTTATTTTTTCTGTGTGCAAAAGGATTGTTTTTTTTTTCTTTTTCAAATCGTTTTCCTATTTTATTCTAAAATCAAAATTCAATTTTTCAACCACATTATAAAATGCGTGATTTTTCACTTGTTGTGAAGTTTCAGAGTCCTTTGAACTAGACCGTTTCGGTAGTATGGGGAAATTGGTGCAGGAACCGCATTTGGCACGCATTCAAAATGCTTGTAAAATATGTTCAGTCGGTTGGAAAAAGCTAAAAGGAATATATTGAAAATTTTTGGTTGCATACGCAGACACATACACACACATAAGGACAGACAGAGAGTTTGAGTTGAGAGCAACGACGCGAAATAGTGGCTTCTAGGGAAACATCCGAGCCCGAGTCCATTTTTCAATTACGCTGATATAATCAGCCGTGGTTTTCATTTAAAATGAATTGCAGAAATCTCATAATAAACCGTTGCATAGACCACTGGCAGACCCAGTGACAAAGAGGGAAAGAGGTAGAGAGAAAAAGTGCTTTCGGCGCTGGACAAAGCTTGAGTGTTTGGTTGCTACTGCTATTCATTTCTTCTGCACACTTTGCGAGTGACATACGATACTTCTGATTGAAGCGGGCCACGTGCAGTAATGCTTCTGACTGTGTATGTATGTGTGTGTGTGTGTGTGTGAAAGAGCGCAAAAAGCAAGACATGACTTTTTGGTTTCGTGCGATGCAAATATGCAAATACTGGTGTTTTTGTGTCTGAATTGCTGCATCAGAACATAATGGATCGTGTGAGAATCAATTGGTGTTCTTTGGTTGCATGAATTTTCGCAACGGAATCCGATTTCATTGCTTCAGCTCAGTTTGATGGTGCTGACTGATGGAATATTTCCAGTGAAAATAAACACTATCCACACATTTCGAAGTCTCAGCATTCTCCTCTCTTCTTTTTGATCTCTATTTTTGGAGAGTGAGTGGATTTGAGTAGCTGGTTGCCTTTGCAACGGAAAAAGGCCTCATTCCGAAAATTTCTCAAATAAAACACTGATCTCTCTCTCTCTCTCTCTATCTTTCTCTTTCTCTCTCTCATTAGCAATACGAAAGCTAAGCGAGAAATAAAATGCAATTCAAAGACCACCTCAACGATTCATTGTCTAAAAAAACAATCCGAGGAAAATGCAAGCACGGTTGCATTTGCCATTCATTTCTCGTCGAGGTGGTCTCATTTGATATTAATCCCGTTATTATTGTTTTGCAAAAGACGTTTGTGGCAAATGGATTACGTGGAATTTTGAACGTTAATCAAAACAGCAACTATAACGGAACACATATATTCTGGCTGCTCAAGTGGCCTTTTTTGTGTGCTCGAAAATCGATAGTCGGTCACTTCGGTTGTTGGTTTTTTTTTTGCTAAATGAGGTCGTCTGACGGAAAACTCACAAGACGGTCCATAACAATCGAAAATTCTCAAACCAAATCCATTTACGTTTGAAACGAAAGTAATCGCTCATTTTATTTGCCTCATTCCTCAGTTAGTTCGTTGCACTCTTTGTGCATGTAAACCGATGGATCGTATGATTTGCGTCATCTCGTGTACTGCACATTCTCATTGAATAAACAGCATCAAAGCAAGGATGTATGAAAATATGATCACATTATCCATTTATTCTGTGCTTTTTTTCAACGTGGGATGCGTGTTAGATTGCGGTGCACTGAGAAAACAGGATGATTGGCCCACATGCACTGTTGTCAAATCGTCGAAACGATGGAATCAAGCATTCAACTATTAATAATTTATCGGATAATTCCATTTCTTCAATCGATATCGCTTGAGACACACACACACAACACGTTAACTGTCGTTTATTTCAAACTATTTTTATTTCGAAAAAAAAAAAAATAATACGTAGAAGGACAAAATGTGCATCGCCAGCCAATCAAAGTTTCAATGTTGTTTATTTTTGCTGGATATTCCAATGTATATGCATGTGTATGGTGCAGTCAAAACACTGTGAATGAAATTCTAACTAGACGAGATGAAGTGAATATCACCAAGGCTGCTGCACCCGAATGGGTGCTTAGCCCAAATTGCTGTCATTTTTCATCGGGATTCAGCATGGAAGAGCGAAAAGAAGCTCTTCATCACGCAAAAACGGTAATTCAAACCATTTCCTTGAGTGATTTTTCTTTTTGTTGTCGTCATTATCATCCGAACTGATTTTCTATCCCATTGTTGTTGCCATTCACGCACCTATACCACCTCGTATACATAAATCATTTGAATGTGGAGCCTGTCTTATCCTGTCGATGTTTTAATCCATGACGAAAACACAAAACACAAAAGTGCACGTTTCGACTAATTAAACTCGAAAAACTTCAACAGAATAGTTGTGATTGCATTGTTAATGCGGAATAATGCAATCCAAAAAAATAACCAACATGCTCTAGATTTTTTATTCGAGATGCGAAAACAATAACAATATTACAAACATTTTCCTTCTGTGTCACACACTCTCCGCTTTCTATCTCTCTATTTTCTTTGGCCACTGATTTCCTTCTTCTTCGTCGTCGTCGTCGACGTCGTCACTTTCGATAGTCTGTCAATGTTTTGAAAATTTTCGTCGTGTCCATTTAACAGGAACGTGAAATTAAACGAAAATAACAAAAACAAAATAGCCCACACAAAACGAACGCAAAACTTTTTGACACTTTACTACTTTGCTCAAGCCCACCGAAATATTTATGTCGTCGCGTTATTTCTCTTTTCGTTTTTTTTTTGTCGTCGTCGTAGTCGTTCTTCTTCTCTTTTTCTCTGTTCATGCACCCTTCAATGTTTTCCTTTCGCCATTGTCGACATCACGCTACCTCTGTTTCGTTGCTTGCACGATTCTTATTTTATCGTGTGTGTCGCCTTTGTGTGTGCGCGCACTGCTCTTCTATTTTGCCCGTACTGGTCTGCCACTCGCCTCCTATACTCCTGCCTGCCTAGGCTTATTCACGACGATGTTTTCATCAACACTACAGTGTGTACGAACTACGGGTTTTCTTCTTCTTCTTCTTCTTTTTCCAATATCATTGAGGCTCAAGCGTAAACAGTGGATTTCGATTTTTCATCAGCGTGCATGTACATGTGTGCGTTGTACAGGCGCGTATGTGTGTCTGTGTGCATGTATTGGTTTTATACGCTACATACGTCATTTTGCGAACAATACTGAATATTTCTCCTTCGGTCGTCGCGGTTATGTCATGCTCGCGCTCCCTTTCGAACGAACATTTTCATTTTTCTGACACACCAACCTTGCCATCACCATTCCGTTTCGATGTCTCTCTCTCTCTCTCTCTCTCTCTCTCTCTTTCCCTTTCTCACACTATAAACGTATCTGTGTGCCTGTGTATTGGTTTTTTGACATTTTCCAAGCATAGTGCACATGCAATTTTGCCTACTGAAAATTATGCGACACACCACGAATTTTGCTGGGGAATTTCAAAGTCACTTGTTTATGACATCGAATTCATGTGGATGTTTGTTACCATTTTTTAAAACTACTGGCTTATTTCATGCAAAACAGGATGAAATCAAACAGAAAACGGACCAGAAGAGGGAACAAAGGGAAAGCAAATTCAAAATGCAAATGTTTAAAAACGAAAATTTTTTATTCATATTTTTTGGCAGAATCAAGCTCTTTTTGTTTAATGAACAACAACAACATAATAACACAAGCTAAACACATATTCAATATGCAAAGATGTTTGTTTGAATTCAAATTTTAATGCATCTGAAATAGAGAAATCAGTTAGTCGGGTTTAAACATTTTCCGTATCCAATTGAAGGAAATAAGTGGGCAGAAAATATCCAAAAGAGGTTTCGACTTTTAACAGAAAAAAAATTCGCAATGACATTAGTTTTCTTTTCGTTTTAAATATTTTACGAGAACAAATACAAGAACTTTACGAATTCTTAATGAGATTGAAAAAAAAAAACTATTTTAGGACTTAATACGAGAATTAGTTTTGGAAAAGAAACATTCCGATGGTGCGACAAATTAAGAGCCCGGAGATTTTGTTTCAATATGCTCGGAAAAGGAAAACAAAATCACAGAATTCCTAAACGAACGATTCACTAGCTGAATAATATGCCACTAAATTCAAATTTGAAGAACAACGAACGAAAATCAACAAAAAAAAATTATCGAAAGAATCTGATAAGTCTCATGATGTTGAAATCTATAAATTTTTATGCAAATTGGATCGGTCCCATGGTGTGTGATTTCATTCGTCGTTCAAAGATTATAAAATTCCATGCGCTATACTTGAGCTTCTTTTTATTCTTGTTTTGCATAAAAATTAACATTTGTCGATTAGTGGGTAGTGTAAACTAATTTTTTTTTGTTTCTTCTTGTCTGTTATTCATTCCAGTTCAATTTAAAATTCGATTCAGTTGATCAAAATCGGATTTGTTGGATTTTCATTGCATCCAATAGACATTGCATTTTTAAAAACTTTGTGTGATTTTTTTTGTTATAGTTTAAATTACTAGTTTTGCGTCTATGAAAACATTAAATTAAAATTTGTATCATTTTATATGTACATATTAAAATTATGAGTCTCTGTTCGGTCTTCTGATAATTTAGTTAGTAAAATAATAGTTGTTTGTTGTTTTTTAGTTTTGAATAAATATGTGACATGAAATTGTAGCTTAATCGCAAAAATAAATATATATCATATCTTTTGTCTATATCGTCGCTTTTAAATACCTAAAATATCTATTAGCGCCTCTAGGTTTGTTTGTTTTTTCTTGTTGTGGCGAAATAAAGCTTCATAGTACATATACATATACTAACAATTTCCTTTCCATATGAATGTACATTCTTTCATCTATTCGCTTCATTGTTGCATACGAGAATAAATTAACATATTATTATGTGTATGTTGGTTTGTTTGTTTTCTTTGCTTTGAATAAACGATCACCCATTCATTTATCTAATTGATACTGTCGATTTCATTGATTGAATCATTTCATTTATTCAGTTTATTTTTCGATAGAGTTATTTGTTCATTTATATCCATTGTTTATGATTGTATTCAGTTAATTGTTCATTTTCTATCCGTTTACCCGTTTTTCCCCTCTTACTTATTACACATTTCTTTCTGTGCAGTTTACAATTTGGAATTCTAATAGAAATCGCAACAACAACAAAAGGGAATACATTGTTCAAGCTGAGAAAATGGTGACCAAAGCACGCATTTGGCGAATCAGAGAGCGGTCCAAATATTTTGGTTGGATTCAGTTTCGCTTCTTACATCCATGTCGTAGGACATACAATGAACAATTAATTTGGAACAATATCGACGTGAACTCAATCTATGTGTGTGAGCGTGTGTACTTATTTTGTTCATATGGACCCGTTCAAATGGTCGTGTTTATGAAGGTTAGCGATTGTGATAGCGCTAATTAGCAGTAGTGTTGTTATTGTTGTTAATAGAAACTACTAATTGGAAGAATTGATAGCAATTTCATAGCATCACTTTGACACTATGCAACGAAATTGCCTCGGTCGCACACTTGAAACTCGGTTGCTTTTAAGTTTGTGGCGATGTTTCATCGTCTTCGGTGATCACACTGCGATTCGTCTCTAAAATGGCTTTCTTCTGCAGCAACAGCTGCAGATGCTCTTCGTTTTGTAACTGGATAATTCGATGGTGGGTGGCTGGAGCTAGTTGACAACTTTCTTGCTCCAAGTCTTCTAATGATGCACGACGACCAAACTAAAATGTTGAAGAGGAAAAAAAGTTTTAATACAAACATTCTTCGGATTTTCAACCTAATTTGGTTTTGAGGACATTTTTCTTCTTCATTCAAAGAGATTTTTTTGTTTTTTTTTTTTATACAAAATTCAATTGAATGGTTCTCAAGAACCAAATGAACAGAACTAAAGAATATTGATTGCAAATGGACCATTTAAAATAGCTTACATTAGCTCGTCTCATCGATGCATCCATTGTTCTCGTTGATTGATGTTGCTGCAAATGATGCAGATAATGATTCGTATTTGGTGCGCTGCTCAATGAAATGCGTCGCATTGGCGTCGGCCCGTCCAATTCCAGATTTTCCAACATTTGAACCATACTGTGACGACGTGATAGCGTTACCAGTGATTGACGATGCTTTGAGTGCTTTGTTTTACCCATTCGAACATCGATGGCACGGAAATGATTTTGCAGAGTTAATCCAAGTTCGGGACACTCATCTTCACCCATCTATGTGATTGATCATACGAAACAGGAAATTAGGAAAATCCAGTATTTTTATCGAACAAGATTATTGTGTCTCTCGTTTACGAGAGTAGATAAGCAATGGGAGTGTATACTTACAATGATTTTTGAATTTTTAAACATGGTGAATCCGTCGCATCCGCCACGCATATAGCTCTTGATGCACAGTGAATAGGTTTGTTTAAGATCAAGCCATTCGTCGGCAACCTGTACCAGCTCGGTAATGACACGAGAGTATGGTGGCCGTTTTGGATCGAATACAAATGAAATGCCCGATACTTGTGGAAATCGTCCTTCCAACTTTGGATAGGCTGAAACAGCATTTTCTAGCGCATCAACTATAGCCCGGCCGGTCACTTCAAGAACAACCAATGGATCATGCATCGGAACAACATTGACAAGATCACGCATCGTAAATGGTCCAGCCGGATGCACTTGATCCGATCGAAATGTGCCCGAATTCAGAATAACAACATCAGCGCCAGTGGCCGATAGTACAACATCACACACCCAATCGCCTAAATTTACTTCGCTCGTTCGAATTTTCGAGAACCGTCCATCCAATTCAACCGAAAATGTACCAAGCACTTCTTTCATATGTTCTTCAATTGAATCAGTGAATTTGGCCAGTTCCGCCTTTAGTTCAACATCTTCAGCATAGTCGGATGTCACATCGATTGCTTTGAATGTGGTCGCCCATTTTTTATCATCGCCTGCGGTCATTGTGATTAAGCCAAATTGTCGAAAATCCGTTCCGGATTTTATGACATGTATACCATTCACCACATCATCTTCACATACATGATCGTGACCACCGAGAATGATGTCGATCCCACTTGTATTGTTAGCTAATTTGAAGTCATTTGGTGTTCGCATATGCGTTAAAGCTATTATCAAGTCACAGCCCTGCGGAAAATTGTACGCAAAAAAAGAAAGAATTTCATAGTTAATGATACACATTGAGTGACCAATGGGTGACCGAAACACATAGTTTCATTATCACGCAAAATGCAGCCATGTACGATAGCATTGTGCGATACTGGAACTTTGCGTTTCGCACTATGACACATATGTAAATCCCAACATTCATTTGTTATATATGTACGTCTCACACATACCTCATTCCGAAGTTGAGTCGCCAATTTGTTGCCTGTTTTGATAAAATCAGTGTACGTTACCTCCTTCGGATCAATAGTTGGCAATGTATCTAACCATTCCTTTTCCACCAGTCCCATTATACCAACTTTGATGCCATTGTGTTCGATGACATGCGTATTTTTACCGCTACCTAACGGTCGACCGGTCTCATTGTCCACAACATTGCTCATGAGCCATGGAAATGACGTTTTAGCTATGTGTTCTGTTATCACCTCAAGTCCATGATCTAATTGACAGATACGATTCACGTTATAGTTTGTGTGGTGGTTATGTTTGAATGCATTTCAGAGAGAGAGAGAGAGAGAGAGAGAGATAGAGAGAGAGAGAGAGAGAGAGAGAGAGAGAGAAAGAGAGAGAGAGAGAGTACTCTATAAATATTCATTTACAATAACAACGAAAACAACAACACAAAAATAGCGAAAGAAAATCTCACCAAAGTCATGATTTCCTAACACTGCACAATGAGTTCCGACTTTATTCAACACCGGAATCATTTGCTCACCTTTTGTAAATGTACTTACTGTCAACGTGGAAAGACAAAGAAAGACACACAAATGCGATCAATATTTCGATTTGAAACAAATGCTGCGATTCAAACAGTAATAATATAGATTTGTGTGCTACTACTCACGTATGCTTGGGGAGAATGCATCACCAGAAAACAAAATTAAAGGGTTTAAATTGGCGTATGATTTGATTACGGTTAGAAATCGGGCCGCTCCACCAACCGGTTCACGCGATGAATTTGGTTCCACATTGTAGATATCGTTAAAGTGAATTATATTTAAATGCGCCATCGTTGTCGTCGTTTTCGTCGTCAACAGTTCCTGGAAATAAATGAAAACACCGCAAATGTAATAAAATCCTTGAACACTCTTCCTTCAATAAATGGGAAATTTTCTTTAATGAAACATTTATTGGCCATCCAAGTCAAGCTCAAAATGGACTCTTGTGTTCATGTCAACAATCAAAAATTGAATTTTGGATGATAAAGCATCCTAAAGACACGCGACGAAGGAGCATTGTGTACAATCCACATGGAAAGGGAGAGAGAGAGAGCGAGAGAGAGAGAGATAGAGGAAAAGTATGCTGCCGTTTGAGATCGAACAGTGTTCCGCTCGGTTCAAATACGAACAATGTTGTCCGAAGCGCGTGCTTGATGCAAAAGTGGCTACTTTAACTTAAAGTGCCAATTTAATCGCAATAATAATACATTTTGTAATTTTTTTTTTTTTTCGTTTGTTGTTGTATAAAATGTCTGTAATAGAAATGACCTACAAGCTACGCATACACACATACATTCAGACACTGAGCAGCAGCAAGGAAGAGATATTTCTTTCATTTCAGAACCAGAGAGAAAACCGCTGTCAAAAGTGCTAATAGAAAAAGAACGATGTGGCACTTAATATTTGCATGAATTGACACGTTTAAGGCACTCGGACACGGTGTTCGACAAGCATTCACCGTAGCTTATTGAATGAGGTGGGGTCTTGGCACATACAGTGAAGGCAGTAGCATGGCGTGGCTCAATAGAGTGAGAGCATTTGCTCATTGTCATTATGATTCCAACGTAAATGAATTATGAGTTTTTATTTAACGTCTTTACCGTTACACGGTGGCACGAAGGCGGTGGCAGCAACGAGACAGCAATGATGACGGCCGTCAGCAGCAACAGTGGCAACGGCAACAGTAATAGCAGCAACAATTGTTCTTTATTATTGTGTGTTGCGGCTATTCGGATGGCTTGCATCGCACTGTGAAATGTGTAATTGTTGTGTAAAGTGCATGCGATCGGCGTGATAACCACACACACTTCCTACAATTCGTGTGGCTTTCGCACCATACACAAACACTATGGCAAAAAAAAAAGTAAAGCAACCAAACACCACCAACACCGATTCACTGTTGTGTCGTTACGCTGTTGTTTTGCTGTTTTGCTGTCTTGCCATCACCGCGTCACATGCAATTCATTTAGATTCATATTCCGTAGCAAATGACAAATGGTAGCTGAGATAGTCGCATGTGCGCACCGTACTCTGTTTATGAATTTGCATGCGATTCGTATTGTTAATGTATTTTTTTCCTACTTCTTCTTCTTCTCCTTCTTTTTCCCTACTTGCGGGTGGAGATACCAAATTCGATTTAATAACGCTATTGCACGAAAATGGACTCTTCGATGATATTCAGCTCAGTGTTACCCGTTCCCTCGTTCCCATTACCTTTGCCTCTCCTTCTCTATCCCTATCTGACACACACCGACTCGAGGGCATATATCGAGTGCTCAACAACGGAGCCTTTATACAACCATTCAATTGCGAGAGTACATGTTATTTATAGACACCGAATCGCACGTGTGACCTTTACTGAATATCTATGAAAACCGAGCAGTTCGGTGCGCTTTCAGCGAACAGGTTGCTAGATCCAAACAACCCAAACAAGTAAAATATCCTATCGAGTGAAATGCAATACTTTCCAGTCTTTTTTTCATTCACCAAAAGCAAATACTTAAGAGCTCATTCGCTGTCTGTTTCGATATCGCTCTCTCTCTCTGCCATTCCGTCTCTCTGTTTTGGCAATGCATGTTTCGCATTGGAACAGGAAACAATCACGGGCGCAGCAACCCTCCATTCGTTTCGATGAGATCGTGCACGGAAATGTAGATTTCCACCATTTTTCACTACCCACCTTTCGACTTTAACCTTTCTTCGATAAACAACTTTCAAGAATTTCTCAAACACACACACACACACATCATTCAAATCAATCGACCGAATGATTTTGCTTTTGTCTGAACGATGAAAACTGCTCGATTCACAATCTACATGTTCGCTGCATTTTGAAATCAACTTCAATTTGGCCATTTCCATTCCACACGCCATGCATACCTCTTTTTTGCTGCTCATTTTTTATTTTACACACATATACGGCGCAAATCGAAGCTCATAACAATTGCTCAACTACGGTGTGGTGGCAATGTATGAATAATTTTCAAGACCAAATCAAACGTATACTCAATTATATAGTGCACAATGCGACAGAAATGCTAAAATCGTTTAAAATTCGCGATTATTGTGTGTTGCGGAAAATAAATGCGAAACACGCCGACAAATCCTTGAATTTCTGTATATTCACGAACGCGCGTTTTCTGTAGTCTGTAATTTGTGTTTTTTTTCTTCGTTTGTTTGTTTTTTCCTTCATTGTTTATTATACTCACAGCTCGCGGTTTGACCAGATCAAAATCGAATCGATGATGTTACAATTTCTCGACATTTGTTTTTTTTTTTCTTTGAATTTATCAATTATTTTCAAAATGGTGTATGGGCTTTGAATGTGCATTCGAAAAAATGCAATCGCGTTTTTCCCTCGGAATGATTTTTCAGGAAAAAAACACGTCGTTTTTTTTTGCTTTGCTTTAAATGAAATGAATAATATTAGGTACGCTGTGATCAGAGGCTCTCCATTGCAAATGTTGAATGAAATCCAAAAAACAAATCTAATTTTAGTCAATTGGTAATTGATGCTTTCGTTTTATTTTCGGTAGATGGATGTGGCAAGTGGACATTTCACAAAAATTATCGTACCAATTTAATTGGAAGCCAGCACACAAAAAAAAACGTTGAGATGATTCAATGGAGAGATTGTATTATAAAAGCTGATGGAAGAATATAAGCCACTTATTGATATTGATTGCAGTCTGATATACACATACACACAATTTTCACGCCTTTTCCCTTGCCCTCGGTTCAAAGAGTGTACGACATATACGGACTCAAAAGCGACACACAAATCAAATTAATTCGGTGAGACACACCGAATGTGCAACAATCGATTTAATCTTACTTTTGAACGAAGAAAATTAGATCTTCAATTTCAATTACAGAGAACCAGAGGGTGATTAAATAGCAGACCTCTCTGGTTCTCACAAAATCACAAAATGACTAAGTGACGTCCATTGAAAGGAACCGGGTAAATTGCGAACAAAACATGAACGAACGTCTTCTTCTTCTTCTTCATTTTTTTCGGTGATTGTACGCAAAAGTTTTGTTTTCACACATGCCAATGGGTATGTAACGTACCTTGCTCTCACTATGTGGAATGGTAATGAAACTTTGTATCCGATTGATGATGATAAATAACACAAACACACACACACACACGCTCACTTACAGTCAGAAGCCCACAAACACTACTCCATTCAAGCAACTTTTAATATATGCTCCTTAAACTTCACTTGATATATATCACGTTTTTTTCTTCTTATCGTACACTGCAAAATTTCGTTTCGTTTCTTCGTCGTAGGCAATTAGGAAGATGATTCAAATTGTTAATTGTCCTTTTAGCTTTTCCGCTTCGTTGACATTATCTAAAATAGGCTTATTTCGGATAAAATACGCTTAACATTGAACATGGGGACTAATTAAGGAGACTGTTTATGTTTCGTTTAAGCGGAAGATTTTGTTTTATTTCGATAAGAAAAATTGCACCTTCAAATCGCTGTTTCTTTTTTTAAAAAAATTTACTCACCGAAGAAAAAAACAACACACTAAATTCATAAATATTTTTAATAGATTTTCGGCGAAGCGCGTGATGACAAGGATTTTGAAATACACACACCGAAAAAAAATCACTCACTCTCTCTCTCTCTCGTCCACTAAAATATTCGGAAGCTCCGAACAAATGGGACTGTTATTTTCAAGTCAGCATCAATTTCGATGTGGTTCACTTTAAGGTTTATGATCTGGGTTTTCTAAGAAAATAGTAATTTTACGTTTGTTTGTTGATTTATTTCTTCTTTTGGTGGTTTATAGTGGGTCTTGTGTAAAAAGGAATGAAAATTCTGTGTGTGAAATTCTATATGATTCTTCGTCGTCGTCGTCGTCGTCGTTTTTTTTTTCTGCTGTTGAACAATTTACACCGTCATTGTGATTAGAACACCGTTTCACTTGTGTACTTCACACAAAATGTGTGTGAGATGTGTGTGCGCGCCGAGAGCAACGATGGAGATATATTTAAGAAGTAATTTTCTCGAGCGTATGAAAGGCGCGAAGGAGGTAGATATACATGATAAAAGAGCGAATATTGTTCAGTTTGTGTCATAGACAGTTGTTATTTTATTTTATTTTTTTGCTTCACTCTCTTCTATATCGTTTGCTCTGTGGCGATGTGTCCGTAGTGCGTTCACTGTGTGTTTGTATGTATGTGCAGCTGAGTGTATGTGCCAGTGTGTGTGTGCCTTGTATGCACAGGCGAACAAAAAGAAACAATTTTTAAGGGAAAATGTTGAACTGTCGCACACAGACCAAAAGTATATGAGAGAGGGAGAAAGGAGAGCAGCGGATAAAAAAACACACACGTACGGTTGCGAGTACAAAGCAAACGGCAGTGAAAAATATGCGGACGAGAACGAAAATTTAATCAGATTCCAAGGCTGCTGAGCTCTAGAGGCTCTTACATTTATTTGGTGGCCTAAAGTCATTTCCCCCATTTGTATCTCGGTGTCTTTGTGTGTATTACGATGTGTGTGCTCTCTTTCTTTCGCTTTCGGTCGGTCGGTCGGTCGGTCGGTTGGTCGGACGGTCGCCTTTGTGTGTGCACAACGCATACACACGCGAGCACATTTAGCAGCATGATCAAAACATATGATTTTATCCACCATCGATTTTGAAAGGAGCCCAAACAATGATGAACATTTCGTTTTGCTGCCACTACTGATACTACTGCTGCCGTTTAGGCTGGTGTGAAAATGAATTGCAACCGTGGAAATGCGCTCAGGCGGTGTGTGCGTGTTTATTCAAATAAATCGCATACAAATTACATATTTGCCGACACCAACATGTGTCGCTTATGTTAGACAAGTGTTTTTTCTCATACAACATTGACCGTTTTTAGCATGCCATTCATACTATCACGGTCAAACAAATAGGGTTTCTGTTAATGATTGAATTTAATATTTGAACATTGTTTGTCTCATTTTTATTTGGATCAAAATTTTCGAAAAAAAAAACATTCACAATTTCTTACCGTGTGTCTGTGGACAATACGGACAAAACGCTAAAATGCGGAACAAAATTCAAACTTTGCAGATGAATCACATGTAGATAATTCTCTTTTTTTGACGATAAAATCAAATTTAGTACATACATCAAACGAGCGTTGACATTTCGTGCTGTGAACCGTACCTTATGTACAAAACACTTTTGACAGATGTTTCGCCTCCAAGCAAAAATTTTGACAGTGGTTTTCGTTGCGACGAACACAGCGATAAATTGCACAGGCACACAAGCGATATAATCCGAAGTTTACAATAACAATCTCTAAGCCGATCTCCGAAACTGCGTTCAGCGATAGCATTTTCAATTGAATCATCTGAAGTGTATTTTCGTTGTGCTTCGAGCCTAGCGATTAGATTGAGAAAAGAAGAAGAAGAAAAAGCAACCGTGATTAAAATGCCTGTAACTGCAACAAACGAAAATATGGATGTCGATAGTGACAATAACATTGGCGAAGCATCAACCAGCAATTCGGCCACAAACACAACACCGTCCACATCGAATCTGCCAGCCAGCAGCAGTAGCAGCAACGCCGCCACCACCACCAAACAATGCACAGAATCGTCGGGAAACAGCGTGATGGCCAGTCCGGCGACCGTTCCATCTGTCACAGTCTCTCTGCATCCGCTTGTCATTATGAACATATCCGAACACTGGACACGAATCCGAGCTCAAAATGGAAGCCCTCAACAAGGTAAAAACATCAACATTTATTTCAATGACGAATTCGTGGAATTTAAATGGAATTTCGTCATAAGTCATTTATCTCTTCATAACCAAGAAGCTGTGTGTCAACAATGAATTTCACTTTTTCTTGCAGTGCTCGGTGCATTAATCGGTAAACAAAGCGGTCGCAATGTTGAGGTTATGAATTCTTTTGAACTGAAATTCAAGTTTGTCAATCAGGATATAATCATCGATCAGGATTACTATCGCACAAAAGAAGAACAATGTAAGTTGAATTTGTGCTGTAATTTTTGAACTAGACCATTTTCTATGTATGTTGACCGTTTTTTTTCTGTCTTTTGATAATAATATACAGACAAACAAGTGTTCAAAGATTTGGACTTCCTTGGTTGGTACACCACTGGCAATCGACCAACCGAACTAGACATCAAAGTGCACAAGCAAATTTGCGAAATCAACGAATGTCCAATCATGTTACAACTTAGCCCACAATCACGGAACTTCGATGTAATTGATACTTTTTGATGTTTTCATTTTTAAGGGGATTTTTTTTACTTTCCATTTTTGCGATTCCTATTCTATTCAATTCGCATTTTGAGATCAATTTTTCAATTTCCCCTTGAACTTATTCATTCCTCATTTTGATAGCAACTACCGGTGAAGATTTTCGAATCGGTGATTGATATTGTGCAAGGCGAAGCGACGATGTTGTTTGTCAATTTGACGTATACATTGGCCACTGAAGAGGCCGAACGGATTGGTGTCGATCACGTGGTTCGCACATCAACACATGAAAATGGTGGCAAATCGGCTGGTAAGACATGATTTCTCGCACAAAATGTCGGATAGAAAATTAATCAAATTTATGTGTTGGTTTCAGTTGCTGAGCACTTGATTGCGCAGCACAGTGCGATCAAAATGTTGCACTCGCGTGTTAAACTGATTTTGGCATACATCAAAGCCATCGAAGGTGGCACGTTACCAGCCAACAGTGAAATTCTGCGCGAAGCATACGCCTTGTCTCAACGCCTGCCGGTCATCCAAAGTTCGACATTCAAAGAGGAATACTATACGGTAATTATTTGCTTCTAATCTGTATCCTTCAAATCCAACAAAAATCGACGTGTCAGTGTATAAAATACTGTTTTTCTTTCTTTCTTGCAGCAATCGAATGATGTCGGTTTGATCACATTCCTCGGAACGCTAACCAAAGGCTGTAACGATATCAATCACTTTGTGAACAAGTTCAACGTGCTGTATGATCGTCAGGGTCGTGGTCGTATGCGAGGCTTATTTTTCTAAGATGTAATTAGCTGGAGGATTCATAATTGGCAGATACTGCATAGATTCGCTCATACAAACAATCAAGCTTTGCAATTAAGCGTATTATTAAAACAAAAAACAAAGAAACAAAAACAACAATAGAAAAAACGAAAACAAATAACATAACAAATGAATTTCTTTACCAATCCAATGATGAAATAAAATCCAAATAAAGAAAACATGAAGAAGAATTGTTTAAAAAGTACTGGTTCTTTATTTAACTCCAAGTCACGACCTTATCCTTATACATAATATAAGTTAACGGAACTATACATATATATATATAAATTTTTCTTTGTTTACGATAATTCGAAACGAAATCTTTGGCGAAATTATTCTATTTTAACGGTGTCGGCGCTGAGATCACGCGTTTTCCCGAAGCCAAACAGCGATTGTAGCTGGTATGTGGTCAAGAACTTGGCAATAACCTGTAGTAAACACAACACGACCACTGTCGCTTCCATTATAACGAAATGGGAAATGGACGTGCCAATCTCCAGCCATGACCCCGTGTTTTTGACCAAAAACAAGAAATTCAGGCACATTATGTCACAACAAAGCAATATTATGATGAAAAATTTGTCAAGAGGAATCTATCAAGTAAAAGAAATATATTTTAATAAATTAGATTAAGAAAAAAAAAATAGATAGAAAGTCATACTTTGGTGATGGAATGAATTTGCCGGACGGCACACATAACCACTATCACCGGAATCAACAGCTTCAAGATGATGAGCGACGCCATCAGGAATGGTGCAAATGTGGATACAAAGCATCGAACCCAGTTCGGATCAAACGAACTCACTGATGCAATATTCCCAGTTCCAAAAAATGACACCAGCACATAAATTATCTGTGAGTGAAATAAGGGTTGAGGAAAATAATGCAATAGCAAAGAAGAGAAGAAAAGTTCAATAATTTTGGCTTTGACTTTGTTTTTTGTTTTGAAAAGGATACACAGATGAAGGCCCGTTTGAAATCGATCGGTTCAATCGATCGCTCCTGGTCCGTATGCTCAATTTGTTGCTGCAGGAGAAGAAGAAATTGAATTGAATTGTTGAAGAATACAAGAAAATATGCGAGAAACAATCTAAAAGAGTATCATTTTATCAATTTAAATGGAGATCATACCGTGTACATTTGCTTGCGATCGGTATAGATCATTGAAACCCAGTAGTAAATGCTCGATGTGAATGTCATGTAGAACAATGGTTCATATGATAGTGACATCAGGCAGAATGGTAGTGCAAGACTAGAAATAATGGCCATCAATCGATCACGGAATGAATTCGGGCCGATTGTTGGTAGTACAAATGAGATAACTGCGAAAATAAAAACCGATGAAAATTGTTTGAAAATAATTTGAAATTGATTAAATGCAATGATTGAAATTGCAAATTCGTTTAATGACATACTCAACAAAATCCACGCGAAAAATTGATTGAATTCATTCAATCCCTTGCGTTCGTTCAAATCATAGACAATCAATAGGCAATCCAATGCACCGATTGCAAACACCACCAGGTTGGCAATTTTAAATGAATTCCGATCAGATGTTGCTGCATAGAAGATTTTCAAGCCCCATGCGCCTAGACCAATCGTTCTGTAAATCATGCATAAGTATCGAAATTTATTCATTAGAACGGGTTTTTTTTCTGCTGTCAATTCGAAAGCATTGCTTGTACTTACAATAGAAATATGTTGTTTGAGTCTTTATCCACCAGTGGCATAGCTGGATATATGGCTAAAATTGCACTGTTTAAAGCCCATTTGAAGAATGCTTCCAATTTTTCTTTTTTATCTGAAATAAAGGAAATCGCTTAGCAACTACCGTAACAAGCATTCAAAATCCATGGTAGCCTCATGGCTTCTGGTATATATTGGAATAAGCTTCATCTATTAAACGCTATCCAATGGTAATTTGAATGTTTCATCATTCATTCGTCATCAGTTGCAAATGCACAAACCTTTTAAAACATAAAACTCGTATGCTAACAATGCCAACAACAGTCCACTCAAGAAAATACGGTTGAAGAATGACAGCACCTATGATGTTACAAATAATTCAATAAATGGATGTTTTTAATATTTTGGTGATTAAAATGATGGAAATATTCGAATGTTTGGATTCACTCACTAGCAATTCAATGCCACCAATCCAAAACCATGTTTCAAATTTGGTCAACTGTCGTAGCATATTGAATGTTTTAACTGGATACCAACACAAAACCGGTAAAATCAAAAAGACACCATTGGCCAATGACATATCCTGAACTGAAAGTGAAAAAAAAAATCGACAAGATCAGAGAAATGAATAGAATACTAACTTTTTGTGCTATTGGTACCATAAACAAACAAGGCAATCAATGCTATCAATCCCAGGGTATTGACATTCGTTTGCAAGAATGACTTTGACGAATGGTATCCTGGTTTTTGGTTTTGAGCTGCTCGATCCATGTCCAACTGTTGATATAATGAAAACATCCAACCAATCATCGCAATGCTAACGGCCAACAGCAACAGATTCTGGTAGTATGTTTGGAAGTAGTATATGCCACCCAAAGCCAAGTCGATGTAATCATAAGCGAGTTTAATCTAAGAGCAAAAAAAAACAATTCTTCTCAAAATAGGATTTCTCAAGGATTTTCTCTTATTGTGGGAATCTACCGCTTTGCTGTATGCTTTGTCCTTGATGGTACTTTGAATTTCATATTCTATCGAGAGCAGCTCATTTTCACGAAGCAAATGATAGTCTTTAAACAAAAAGCCTTTTTTATACTCATTTTGCAAGTGCTTGAACTGTTTTGCAATTTGTACGGTGTTTTGAAGTACACTTTGGCATTCGTATTCCTGGAAATGGGAAGGCGATACAATGAATTGGTTTGAAAATGAAGAAGTCACTTTCAAAGCGATGAAAGAGATAGAGTTCGTTCAGCGCTGCATTCAACGTTGAATCACACAGTACAAAGTGGAGTTCAAGTAGCGCATACCTCTGACACATTCAAATATTGTGCTGGAAGTTTGCCAAGATTGTTGGTTGGCACAGCCGTTCCGATCAAAGATGACATCAGAGGTGTAGCATCGGCTTGTTTGATATCGAACCGTGGCACTCTAACATCATTGATGATGGTTTCATGTCTGAATTGTAAACAATGAAATATATTCATTCAAATTTGTTTCGAATCAACATAATCGTCTCTTGACTTCGATTCACACATACTGTGTATCATGATGGTCTAAATTTTTCCAATAGTTAACACCTGCACCCCAAGCAATAATCGGTGTTTCAGTTTCGTGTGCAGTACCAGCCCCATGTGCGCCTAATTTAGAAAATGTCCATTTGATTTCCATTCACTTGCAATGAATTTTCTTTTAAATTTTTTACCTTTGTTCGACATGCCATGGTCGGCAGTGAAAACAAATGCGGTTTTTCCATCTGGAAATCGATCATTGAATAATGCAACGATTTTCGAAATACCCTCGTCTACTTCTCTTAGATTCGTATCGAATAACCTGTGTGTGACAAATTCAGTTGATAACGTGCAATGATATTATGGTCGAATTTGTGTCCACTTACACTGTGTTTGGTTTATGAACATGGCCAGCTGTGATTGCATCCAGTTGAGTATAACCAAGAAAATTCACACAATTTAGTTAGCAAATTTCTAAAAGATAATTGCAGTTGATCGTACAAACCTGTGTCCAAACCGAGTAAATGTAAAAAGAAAACGGTGTGATTTTTGTCGGCAATCTTTCGTTTGTCTTGATGAAGGAATTCGGTGACTTTATCAAAAACCCATGTATCTAACCGTACCGTGCTTGATTTACCGGAAACATCTTGAAATTCTGGTGCATAGGCATTGGCAACGATTGGATTATTTACCGATTGTTTTGTGAATATCGAAATGATATCCGGACTGCCCCAAGCGTATGTCGTCTGAAATTCAATCAGGATGTGAGTCATTCGTTAGATAATTCTGATTCTTTCTTTTTTTTTCCAACCCTCGTTTTGTAAAACTTACATCACTGCGATTGAATACCGAGTCAAAATCGATTGGATTACGTTGCCATCCTTTGAGCACAGCACTAGGATCTTCATAAAATCCAGCAATTAGTGCAACGTGTCCTGGCCGTGATTCGGTTGGTACACGTGTATGTGATATTCCATGAATACCCTCATTCAAAATAACACTCCGTAAATATGGTGTCTGCTGCAAATTATCACGGAAAAATGACTCGGCACGCAGTCCATCGGCCACGAACAGCACCAGCCTAAATGTGATGGAAAAGAAACAAATTTCAATCATATTTGTATCGATATGCGTCACATACAAATTACCTTTTGGCCGGTGAATCATTCAAATTTGGCTGTGCCTGAAGACCACTTATGACCGGCGATTGAAAATAAATTTGAAAAATTGATGCCAAAAACAAAGCGTGTGCAATAAGGCCAAACGCAATAATTTTAATCATGATTGGAAAAAGCCAAATTTCGTTTAATTTTTCTGTGACAAAATCAAAAAGATAATAAAACCCACAGTTGATTCGATGTGGTCGTTGTGATTTGTTTATACTTGAAGTGTTTTGACGTTTCAAACTGTCAAACGGGGCCCGAACAAATGGAGAAGGTTCGATGCCATATAATCGCTGTGTGCTTTGTGTGTTGTGTTTTTTTTAGAACATGGCATGTGAATCAGCTGTAAGCAAAAACGCTAATATTGAGTGAAACTTATAAATTAATCGCAAATAAAAATGCATCATCGAATCATAAAACTAATGTCAATTTATTAAATGCATTTGAAATTTGGTCAATTCCGTATGGTTAAATTTCGTTTGGTTGAGCCACACAGTTAACGTGAATCGTTCTGCGTGTTTGTGTTGGCATAAACGTCAGATTGTTGTTTCACTGGTTATCTGCTAGTGTGTGGCATGACATTTGTACAATGGGTAACATCGCATTAGAAAGTGGCAACCACATCACTAAAAATCTGTCTCTGTCTGAGTCATTTGTTTAACGGAACGGATTTTCTATTGTTTATGAAGTGGCTTATAGCATTTCATTCTTGTTTGCTCTATCAGACGTTTTATGTGATTATTAAGTCACACAAATTTTTCGTTCGATCAATTGGTATCATATTTTTGGTTTGATATTTGGCGCGCGCGTGTATGTGTCTGTGTGTATTAGATATATGTGTGAGATATTAGTTGATCGAATGCAAAAGCGATTAATTGACTTGGTGAAAAATGAATTACGAGAATATTAAAGAAAAACACACGTAGAAAAAACAAAAACAAAAATAAAGCGCAACATACAACGGAGTGTTCCACCATACACACCATCTACCCACAATAACAAATCGTCGACATCAAAAAAAAAGAAGAAGTAGCTAAATAATTTCTCTACATATAGATCCATGACGTCGACACAACACCACATCGCATTATTACAGTTCATTTTTCAATCGCTATGTGCATGGTAAGTGGCAAATTGTTTTGTGCATTGAGAAAAATATTTCTTTCATTCAGTTTTGGTTGTCTACTTCTCTTCTGTGCTTGTGTGGTTTTTCTTTTGGGGTGTTAAATTGACTAAAATGAGAATTTTTCAGTAGTAAGTAATTAGTGTCTGTGACAGAAGCTCATACACCAAACAAAACAACACTTGAAAAATCGGAGACAACAAAAATACATTTCAATAATTTTGCTTTTTATTGACAACGGTTATAATTACACATATCATAAATCAAAGGTGTAATGAACGTGTGAAGTGTTTGACGATATGTTTTAACCAAAACCTCAATCGGTAATTGAAATGGCAAATTGAGATTTATTGCGGTTACAAATCACAAGAATACCCTCGATCAATGTGATGTGCATAGAATTTCTTTGTGTGTTTTCATATTCCACATTTTCATTTCAAATTTTTCACGGCGATGATGCAGATGAATTTCCAATTAAACGAATTCAAAAGCCAAACATTAAGCAAAGAGTCACAGTTTCATGGGCAATCATAATTGCAATAATCATCATAATAATAATAGTAAAACAAAAGCAAAAAGAAGGAAACCGAACAGAAGCACGATAGCCATTTGGTAGTGTGTTTTTCTCTGGTTCGGCCAAATGGTTTGTTTGTTATAAGTTCAGAGGTTAAATGTCGCGGTGTGTGTGAGTGTTTGTTTGTGTGTTGGCACCTGTGTGTGTGTGTGTGTGTGTAGTTGAAACAATGAAAATTGTGTCAAGTGCGTGGCATAGATTTTCCAGACGGTGGATTATTTAAATGAGGAAATACTTGCGGGGTGGCTCATGCTTCTCTAAATTTCACATGAAACATTTACATGCCATGAAAATTGAAAATGAGCACTTTTCAATGCAAGAAAAACATGGGTGAGAAAGGGAAAGAGAGTGAGAAATAGCCTGAAATTGAATTTTCCTTGGCCACACTGAGTATTTTTTTTTTGTTGCTCTTCATATTATTTCAGTGTGCACTGCTCGACTTTGCTGTGTGGTGATTGACGGTCGTCGCCATTTACGGCATTCTCGCCATCGTCATCACAATTCAGCGAGGTATTATCGGTAAAAAAGACAAACATACAAACTTTTTTCGCTGTCTTCTTCGAAATTACACACACAAAACATAAGTTTATTCAACGAAATGAAAACAGAACGAAATAAACCGAAATAAACAGAGAACGAAATAAACAGAGAGAAAGAGAAGAAGATGAAAAATGGCTTGAAAATACTTTTTTTTCACAGATCAAACAGAAAATTGTTTCATTTATTCACGCATCGACTCGTGATCGAACTCAATTTGGTGGAATCTGTGAAATAATAAGCCCATTACTGGAAGTCATAATTAACGCACACCATGCATGCATGGAAGAAATCACAGAAAAAAAATTACTCTCGCTCTCTAAGACTTCGACTGCACCGTTTTATTTTTGATCACTTAATTTCCCTCTGATTGTATGTTACAGAAAATGTGATCGAGCAGCAGAAAAAAGAAGACTTCATCATTTTTTTTCGATTTTCAAACCCTAAACAAAAATCAATCAGGTTGAATCTATCACATTTCTTATCTCTTTGGGTGTTGATTCAATGAAAATGTTGAGTGGCGCGCGCGCTTAAGACACACAGTGAAATGGAATAGTGTGCGAATGGTCTGGTATGTGTTTAATTGAATATTTGATGCATCCCGTAACAAATCGTATCAGTTGAGTCATTGCATGTGTTTAAATGAAAACCAGCAGATTGTTGCTTTTTTTTTATTAAATTCATTGTCGTCGTCATCATCGTTGTCGTTACCCGATCATTTTGTTTATACCGTTTGTTTTGAGTGCAATGAGTGAATGAATCCAAGTTAATCATCATTATCATCATCATTTTCTGGTTTCTCATCTTCAACCGCCAAGCGCAATTTAATTGATGCGTGCGCGCATTTGTTTGCTATTGCGGCTGCTGCGGCTGCTGCAAGTCATCGGTGTATGCACAGGCTAACACAGCTAAACAGCCCGATTATCTCTCTTCGTTCACACAATTCTCAAGGAAAATTGTATTCAACGAAGCAAATTCAATTGAAACGTAGTTCTTACATTTCATAGACGATGATTGGTTACAATGCTCAGTGAAATGCAAGTTAAATTCGTGTAATGTTGTGTTGAGTGCTGTTCGTCCGCTCGCTCAATAAATGTAAACCTAGAATTTGTATTGAATGAAAATCAAAAGAACGTGTATTAATTTCACCCATTGAAGTGATGGAACAGAAGAGAGGAAAAAACAGAATGAGCGTTTGTTTCGAATACGTATGCAAATCCTGAAATTTGAGAGTCAACCTAAAGTTCAGAAAATTCAGTTGTCCGTATCGAATCAGTTGAAATCAAATCGGTGATCACACCAAAGCGACCATAGATGCAAAAAATATCTATCTATCTCGGTGTGTGTGTACTGTGTATCGATCGTTTGCTATTTGGTCAGGTTGTAATCTGTGCATTTCTTATTAGTTGTTTGCATTGTTTGATCTTCAACCCATTAACATCCATTTACTTATACTGTACATCCGTGTACCCTACACAGTACAGTCAAGCCAACGTTCAAAATTCCAGAAGCACATGTACTTCCACGATATGTTTATTGTGTCTCCCTCTCTGATTTGCCATAATGCGTATGAATAATTGTTGTTAGTTTCATACCATATAACTGCAGCTTAACTCACAGTGATAGCTCCCCGTGCGTGTGTCTACCTCTGTGTGTGTGTATGTATGCGATTTGTTTTTCACTCTCAGTTGAACTTGCGTTTCTCATCGCTTTGTTTGCGCTTCACGTGTATGCTTTTATGTACAATATTTTCCTCAATGATAAACACCAAGCCAGCTTATTCAATATTATCACTAGACTCCAAGTTCCGACTCTATCAAAGCCGAAGTACATTACGTATACAAACAGCAAAATATTTGGTTGTTTTTTGATAAATTATCATCTCTTATTTTCAGTTTTATTCAGCAGTTGATTGTAATTTATTTTTGACTTGATCTAAAACTGTTATTCTACTCACTAATCCCATTGAATGTGTTCTCTCTCTCCTTTTCAGATTATAAATTGATTAATTTGCATTAATAAAAATTCGATCGGATCGAGTACATGCCATTTGCGAAGTGAGATATTTAAATAGTTGCGAGTCGAATTTGCGTTTTGTGTGTGTGTGTGTGTGTTTTTTTTTCGTTTCGGTTTTTTGTGTTTTTGTGCTGAGGTCCAGTGGGCAAATTAAGCGCGTAAAAATGAGTATACGTTTCGATAATGGCAGCATCTCGGAAAAATGCATGATACGCACAAACACACGAATCATCACGAATCTTTATGAAGGAATTCCAGAAACACTGTTGCTCAACATAATCGGCTGGACGATATTGATATTGCTGTTTTCGGTGTTGCGACAACAGGCATGGGACTACGGTCGATTAGCATTGGTCAGTACGAATGGTGACAATAAACGATGGACACAATTATTCTATGCACCAACAAGTGATGAAGGTGGCGGCAGTAATAAAATGAATGGCAGCGCAAATCGGAATGCAGGGAACGGAAGCACAGCAACGATTAACAGCACCGCCAGCAATGGAACATCATCGGCTGGACCTAGCGGCATCGATATGACAAGCGGCAGCAGCAGCACATCAATCCATGAAACCATTCAACGCAGCTCCAGCCAAAACACACACAAACAACAGTCGATCGACCGTGGTTTCCTGTCATGGCTACCGGCCACCATACGATTGACCAGAGATCAAATTCTTGACCACAGCGGGCCAGATGCCGTGCATTATTTGAGCTTTCAACAGCACCTAATGTGCGTTATGGTAAGTGTGATGAAGCCAAATGAAGTGCTAAGTGTTGCTACAAATTTCAACCGATTTTTCTTACAGGGAATCATCACGCTGGTGTCGCTGCTGATTGTGCTGCCGGTGAACTGCACCGGTCAATTGGCTGGTGATATTTGGTCGTTTGGACATTCAACCATATCCAATTTAGAAGGAAATAGCCTATTGCTTTGGGTACATGTTTTCATTGCCATTGCATACGTTCCGTTAGTTGTGCTAATAATGCGTCGTACATCGGGTCGAAATGCATTTAAAACGGCCGCATCGCGAACCGTCATGATTACCGACCTTTCACGCAGCGATCGTTGCAAAAGCAAAGAGGAACTTCTTAACTATTTCCAAGAGCTTTTTCCCGATGTCCAAATCAATGCATTCGAATTGGCCTACAACATATCCAGATACACTGAGGTGTGTAAAGAGTTTGAACGTGTATCAGACGCCCGAATATACTGTGAAATGCATAAGAATCATCGACCGGTACGAGCGATGCCGAATTTATGCTCATGCAAAACGGTCGATGGGCTTGAATACTACAAAGACATGGAGGAACGTTTGCGCGGTGAAGTGGCTCGACTTCGGGCACATGCTATTAATGAACCGGTTGGCATCTTATTTTTAACCGTTAACACCACCGATGTCGCCAAGCGTATGATTGGACAATTCAAAGCATTGAGCAATAAGGAATGGAACTTGAGCTATGCACCATCGCCGGAAGATATTTTCTGGGAAAATTTAAATATTCCAGTACATAAATGGTACATTAAATGGACCATTGTGAATTTGATTCTGTTTTTCTTCTTATTCTTCTTGACAACGCCCGTGCTTATTGTCAGTTTATTCGACAAATTCACAATGATGAAGAAAACCACCGACACCATCAACACAATCAGCCCATTGATATCGGAATTCTTACCCACGCTATTGCTGTGGACAATGGCCGCACTGTTGCCCGTCATCGTCACATTCTCCGATAAATGGCTGTCGCATTGGACACGATCCAAGCAAAACTATTCAATCATGACCAAAACCTTTATCTACTTACTGTTTATGATTTTGATCTTACCATCGATGGGATTGACCAGTGCACAGGCATTGGTTGAATGGACGCTACAGCATAATGACAACGACACCTTGCATTGGGAATGCATCTTTTTGCCGGACAAAGGTGCATTCTTTGTCAATTATATCATAACTGCCGCTTTAATTGGTACGGCCTTGGAATTGCTACGTTTTCCCGAGCTCATCGTTTATATGTATCAATTGTGTGTGGCCAAATCACGTGCGGAGACATCACACATTCGTAAATCGATTCTAATCGAATTTCCATTTGGTATTCACTACGCTTGGACCGTGCTTGTGTTCACCATTTCAACGGTTTATAGTGTGATTTGCCCATTGGTTATGCCATTCGCTATGATTTACATTGTTTTAAAGCATTACGGCGATCGGCACAATTTGTACTTTGCCTATGGGCCAAGCAACATGATTAGCCAGAGCGGTGGACGCATTCATTCTACAGCTGTTACCATGACAAAATGCTCAGTGGTCTTATTGCTGTAAGTGTTGCCTGTCATTTTTCACTCGAGAGTTCTGCAAGATTTATTGACCATTCGAACAATTCACCATTTTGAAGCCAATTTTCATTTATTTTTTATATCACCCATGGACCGTTTTCCTCTATATAATAATTTCGATATGCAATTTACAGTGTTATTTTGGCTGGATTATCATCAGTTCGTGGTGGCCGAGTAGATGCCCGTACCATTGTATTGGTGATGTGAGTATAAAATTGAAATATGAAAACAATTAAACGTGTTCTCATAAAACCAACAAAACATTGACATTAAATGACTAAAATTAATCCTCGTTTATTTTTTATTCCTTTACCACTTTGAACCATGTGCTTGTAGTGCCCTTTGTGTAACGTTGACGTTGTTCACATTCATGTCACCGATTAAGAAGTGTACAACACGACGGCCGAACATCCATGAAATCGATGGACCAGCGCCGGTATATGTGGCACCAGTGCTACGCAATAGACGCTTAGAATTAGCAATTAAACAGCATCAGACACCGACACATGCCAGCTACGGCACCGATGAGGTCGACATAGAAGATATAATAATTAATAACATGGGTGAAGAGTCACCGATACGCGGCAACCGGGTGCGAAACATTCATACGTAATTGTAATTCGTACGCAGTGAGATTATTAGGTGCAGTGTGTGTGTGTGTGTGTGCTCGCATATCCATGCAATAATGCAGCAGCAAATGATAGCAACACATACGACAAGCTACACACCCTTATTTTGTAATTGATAGGAAAATATTAACCTATTACATGAGAGAAACATAGTGATAAATTATGAGGAGATGGATATACACGTATCCGAAACATTTTTTTTTTTTGTATTTTCTTGTAACAAAGAATTATTTGCTATAATCGTCCTTATTATTATTATTATTGTAATAACCATTAAATTATTTTCTTTTGGCTGATGATTTTTACCCGAGCAAGTGAAAAACACCCAAAAAAACTATTAACAATCTTTGTATGATGCATTCGATTGTGTTATGTTTAAGTGTGAATTGTCCTCAAACTCCTCTTTGTTTATATTTTTTTACTCGTCATCCTGGACACTTCTACTGTACGTTACGTTTTCCCAGAAGAGAGATGGAAAGAGGAAATCGAAATAAAACGAAAAAAAAAATGTTTGTAAATAATGCTAATATTGCAGCTGAATTAGATTTTATACATTACATGTACATTGGTTTGGTTCAGTTTAATTTTTAATTTAGCCACCACACTGTCACACACACACCGTTCTTTTTTTTTGTAATGTTTAACTTATTTCAACACACACACGCAGCGAGTAAACAATCAACTCTGACTAATTTATTGACCTATCGATTTAAAAGTATCGAATAATAAATTATTTGAGAAACTCGAATTAAAACATACATAATAAAAATATGAAAATAATTATGAAAAAGAATGACAGAAGAACACATAGAGACAGACAGAAAAAACAAAGATCATGTATTTAATTGTATTAATCGTATTAATCATGATATTCAAATCGCGTCCGACATTTAAAACAGTCCCGAAATCCATTTCGGCAAACGTATAATAACAATGCATGCATGCATTAGTCCACACCTCAATGAATATATACTTATGATGGAATGTGTGGAGTTTCAAAGTTCGGAATGATACAGAAGAGTACACACCATACTTAGTCGCATTCGATTAGAGCAGCTAAAGAAAGCAAGATAATTTGAAATTCTTTTTGAAATCTTGTCAATCTTAAAGTGCAATTTTAAACACTGCAGATTTTATCATAAAACTACCATTTGGCCAAGGGCTAATTTGATGGCTGCAGTATTAGCAGTTTTATTTCTCAATTCAGCATCGACACTGAATTTTAACATCAACCATCCAAATTATCAATGTTCTGAATTGCTAGATATATTTTCGAATTTTTTTCTCTTCAACATCAACAAACTCCTTGAAGCGTATATCCAAATGCTCCTTTGAAAAAAAACAAACCTTTTTACAGAAGTTCAAGAGAGAGAGAGAAAAAACTTTCCAAAAAAGTAGAGAATATGCGGACTAATGGCAATAGTACTATATATCAAATAAAAGCACGTCGAAGAAAAGATTTTGCAATAAAACAGTGGTAATTTTTATTAATAAACAAAGTCCGATTGATCACTGCTTTCCGTTCTCAGTCAAAGAGCTGAGACTTTATGTGCACTTTGGAAAATGTTAGAATAATATAAATACAGTAGGCGTTTAAGCCGGCAAATGTGCATCCAACTCATGTTAAATATGAATCGGTAAGAATAATCTTGACCTGTCAAATTGAATGAAAATAAATATGAAACATAGAGTTTTTCTTATATGGACTTTACAAGAACAACTCCATATAAAAAAACTCTATGTTTCACATTTATTTTCACTCAATTTGGCAGGTCAAGATTATTCTTACCGATTCATATCTTCTTTTGTGCAGAATGTAGATGCCAAAAATTGGTTCGAAATGCTCGAGACAGATCTTTTAGATTTTGATTTTGATTAGATGACAATTGCTTTCTGAATTTCCTCTCCACACAAAAGAAAACCAGCGACGGTTGAGGTGTCATTGAAATGCAAACGCCATTTCCTCCGTAAAAAAAGAAGCAACAACGGCATTTAGCTACCAATAATAGGAATCTCCCGTTGATAAATAACATTAGCATATGCGAAAGTTGATTTTAGCTGACTCAAACGATACACCGTTTTTGTCAGCTGTTTGTTTTTTTTCTCGTTTCTTTCCTGTTCGGCGAAATGAATGCAATTCAGTATAATTAAATTTGACTGTTTCGATTTTATTTATGTATTGAAGTTGAATATTTTTTTAAACAACAATAACAACAATCTATTTAATACTTTTACAAAAGAAAGCGATTCGTTTTTCTGCACCGTATAAATAAAATAGCGTAAATCAATTAAATTATGAATACAAAAAGAAAAAATTCGATGAAAATGGCCTGAATATGAAAATCATAATTATACATATTATTATTTTTTGTAAATTATTTCTTTAAAATATGAAATGCCCAAAATAAAACTGATTAATTTCGAATAAAAAAAAGATAAAATAGCTTTTTTCGTATCTCAAAATCCCTAATGGTTTCGTATTTTTGTTGTTGAAAATTATCGTCAATGGTGCGTATACAGTGTGTTTGCTTGGTGCAATTGTCAAAAACTGTTCCGTCAAATGGCCCTGGAACTAGTCGGAATCGGATGAAACGGAGCTGTGCACTCGATTTGAATTGCCGTTGTCAAAAGTTCTTCCACGGTAAATCACACTGTTTTTATCTGTTTCATAGATTTTCACCTCGTACAATAGTTCTGGGCGATGCATGCGCCGCGTGAGATTTTGCCAAATGAACACTGCTACATTTTCGGTGGTACTGGGCTAAAATGGTGATGACAATACGATTTCAATGTTGTGATTTTTTTTTCAAGCACATAAAAACAGACGAAAAATTCAACAAATCATTTCTCTTTACATCAACCGAAAAACTAATTGTTGTTTCGTCTCTAAAGCAATCAAAATTACCCGAATTTTAAAGAAATCCACATCTACGTCCAAATTTTTATGATCTAATGGTTTCATGATTGCGTGATCCATGTGATCTTTCAACTCTGTGATATTCATAACCATGCCGGTTTTTCTATCAACCGCTCCTCGAATCGTCACTTCAACTGGAGAGTCAATTGAAAACAAACAAAAAAAAATTATCCATGTTTTTCGATAAACATCTGTTTGTACTCTGTGAGTAATGTTGACTTTGTCACATTATCCTATCTTACCTGTGTAATTATGGCCATGACCATTGATGTGATTGCATTTGCCGTAAATGAGTTGATTTTCTTCGTCACTCAAATCTTTGCTGTAATTAACGAAACCCAAGTGCATGAGTATATATCTATTTATAAAATACGGAATAGTTGTGACAATGTTACCTATGCAAGCGATGACATGCGCTAAAACTCTCTTTCCGGGTCAAGTAAGCAATTGGTAGAGACATATTTTTCGTTCTTTATTTTATTATCACTTTACGATACGGAATACTACAAACAAATTGTTGATGTTTTGATTCGAAAATAAATGTGGACGCGTTGATCTTTTTTCTTTCTCTCTCTCTCAACGAAAATTCTTAGCTGTCCAAAACTATTCTAAGCACGAGTGATTCTAAACGTGGTCGGTATTGTAAAAGATTGAGATGTCGCAGCAAATGGTGAGCAGAAATTTTGCAAACAAAATGTGTAAATCGACAACGGCAACTGGAGGCAAACAAGTGTTTGCTTTTATCTAAGTTGTCATGTTGTATGCGGCTAACTGGCAAACCATATGCGACAGAGCGAAAGAGCGCGTCTATCTGCACACTTGCACACACAATCACAGTGTATGTCATTGCGGACGTTGCACGCACACACATCACATCAACTGTTCGACATCGATAACAGAGATAAATTTCAAATGTTTTCGGTTTTGCCATGGGTATACGTATGTATATGTGTATCATGTTTCGTGTTTTGCTCACTTAATTTTAATTGTAATTCTCTTATTCTATAAATTCGTTGAATCACTTGCATTGTGTGTTGAACACAAAAATTGCAATGCACATTGAATATGTTGCGGAATGCGAAAGAATTGAATAGAAAATCTCGTTCGTTTTGTGTTACAAGAGAGAGAGAGAATGGGGCGGAGAATCATTGTGATGTATCGGAGTGCGGCAGTATCAATTTAGCTGACTGGCATGAATCACATTCGATCATTTGGCTTTAATTAGATTTTTTTTTCCTCTCTCTCGATTTTCTATCCGTAATAATCTCATATAGCCAAGATCATGGTCGTCACTGAATGTATGATAAATGGGAGAAAAAATTGAAACGCAAAAATTCACTCAGCCACACGCATACATTGACGCAAACGATTGACAGTTCACTGATACACGCACACAAACACATTCATCCATCCCATTCTAGCGGCATGAGCCATTGTCGCACTGACATTTTTGTTTACGTATTTCATAACTTAGCGAAAGACCACAGTAAAGTACCGCATCACGAGTGTGAAGTATCAATATAAAAACATTCTCAATACGACGTCTGAAATAAACATAGTATATGGTTGTTCCTTCTTCATTCACGGAACAATACACGAAAATTCCGAATTTGTAACACCAAACTAACAAGGAACCATCAACTATGGTTGCGCGAGTTGAGCGAAACGGCATATGCCATAATGTAGGGCTTCGATGGACTAGCTTCACAGCATCCCACTTTTTCCTAACCCGAACAACTTTTTTTCGCTACATCGATTTGAAAATTTCCATATACTACATGGGCTGAAAAGTCTTTGGCCTGATACAGAAATAACGAAAATACTGCCAAATCCACATTAGTTTTAGATAAAACCATCCTTAACTAGAACTCAGTCAAAATTTGAGCCAAATCGGATGGTCGGCTTGCAAGTTACAGCGTCTTGAACCAATCTAATTTTGATTTTTCAAAATCAGAAGAAAAATAATTTTTTTGTGACGGTTTCGCGCTTACATTCCAAAGACATAATTATTAGAAAAATCAAATCCATATTGGAGTTACTTTACGGTATCCCTTAAGCATTGAAAATAACCTGGATGTATAAAGATATTTAATTCAGACGTCGTTTTACGAGCCATTTTGTTGACAAACCTCAAAAATGCTCAAAATTGGTGGTTTTAAGAGATATCAACAAAATTATCAACGATATGATATCGGACGACCCAAAACTTTTATTGTATTAAACTTCCAATACCATGGGCCTACTATCTTAGGCCATAGATTCCAGTTTGCACAGAAATTCTTGTATGAAAAATTCAATCGAAAAAATCGTACCGCATTTTCGATAATTGAGCAAAAATCCCAACTTTGTTCAGATTCGCGGCCCTCTTTGGAGCCATAAAAGGGAAATCATTGCATGTTTTTGCTTTGATATATCGGCCATTCCACACGAAATCAGGGAAGAGTTGCAATGTGAGGTCGCCGAATTGGCTGAAAATTGGCTTGGAGTCTTGTTTCCGATAGAAAAAGAGAAAACCAAAATCTCAGGCCTAAAAGTGGCCCGCCTTTCTGAGTTAACCCAGTGTGAATTTTTGGAAAAATTGAAAAAATCGAAAAAAAGGGTTTGCGCCAACTGAAAACTAACTAAGAAGTAGTTGACACATTACCAAACCATTGGTACCGTTGGAAAGGGAATTGATGGGGCTAAAGAAAGCCGCCTAGTAACTTACTCTCTATGGCCCCATTGGAACCTCCAAAATGGGTTCAAAGTATAAAATGTTAAATATCTCAAAATAGTGGGATTTTTTTGACATGTTTTTTATGCATTTTTTTTGCGCTTACGTCGCGCCGCTCCAGATGGAAAAATCAAATTTCGTGTATACCCCCCATTCAGTTCGTGTATCTGGCCTCGGCAGGTGAATCATATGTCATTTTTCAGCGTTTTTGTGGGAAAAATGGTCGAAAATGGCCTCTTACGACATTTTGATATGAGAAAACTGCTATTTTTTCGTCAAAATACATGAAAAAACGACCTTTTTTACATCGGTTTACGTATAAATTTGGTCCGAAACTGACTTTTCTTCATAGAACAAACGAATGGTCGAAATCTGCTTACAGAATCACATTTGTGGCATAGAAAACCCACCTATAATGGGCTGTCATTACAGATTTACAGGCAATAACATATTATTAACTATACTTAATAACATAATAATAACGGCCGATATATTGGTCCAACATAACATAATAATAACGTTATTAAGATTCAGCATAATAATAACATAATATGTTATGCGTTATATGGGGTATTATCTTAATAAATCCTAAGGTTCGGCGGTAATAACATTTTATTAACTATAATAATAACATATTATTAAGATGGATTTATTAACTGAATTAATAACATATTATTAAGATACAATCTTAATAACGCTTTTTTCGCGCATTTTTTTTTCACAGGAGCACTGACAAGTTGTTTTTTCACTGCAGAGTACACACCTGAATTTTTACACTGTTGCAATGAAATTAACTTGACTCTTTGAAACGGAATTATCATGTATTGAACTTAACCATTAAGTTTAGGAAATCGCCAGTCCCGACCTTGAAAGGATCAATTTACCATATTTTGTCTGCATTGTTATAGGTGCGTACACCATACACTGTATACCCGTAGTGAAAAAAAAATCCAGTGCTTTTTATCTCTCCAGCTAGGGAAAAGAATGCGCGAAAAAAGCGTTATTAAGTTTGCATCTTAATAATATGTTATTATTATAGTTAATAAAATGTTATTACCGCCGAATCTTAGGATTTTTTAAGATACACCCGATATAACGCATAACATATTATGTTATTATTATGCTGAATCTTAATAACGTTATTAAGATAAAAAAATCCCAACATAATATAATGATAAATATGTCGGGCAATAACATATTAATAACATATCGAAAATGTAAATCTGTAGCTGTCATGATTCTATTTCCACGTAATTTTTGATGAAAAATCGATTGAGACTTATCTCAATCCTGTCTGATGGGTCTAAAAGGTCGAAAAATGACCCTGCTTCAGAGGATGTTTTCAACTCGCAATAAAAACACTTTTTTTGCTTCAAAAATTCCCTATTCTGCATTCAATCGTGAATGGCTTTTATTTTCCAGCGAAACAAATGAAAATATACCAATTTGCTTACCATTTGGGCTCAATTCAGCGTTTTATGTAGAAATTGTTCTGAAAAACGGTCATTTTGTATGGGAGGTATCTTAAATTTGCTTAATTCGATAATTTTACGTTAGAAAACTCCTATTTATTTTCGAAAATAATGGGGGCCTGTGAACAATCAAACACCCATTTTGTTGTATTTTGGTCTCAAATCGACTTTGGCATCGAAAAAATCACTCAAAATGGAGATTTTACATATAAAACGCTGAATTGGGCCAAAAATGGTAAGCAAACTGGTATATTTTCATTTGTTTCGCTGGAAAATAAAAGCCATTCACGATTGAATGCAGAATAGGGAATTTTTGAAGCAAAAAAGTGTTTTTATTGGGAGTTAAAAACATCCTCTGAAGCAGGCTCATTTTTCGACCTTTTAGACCCATCAGACAGGATTGAGATAAGTCTCAATCGATTTTTCGTCAAAAATTACGTGGAAATAGAATCATGACAGCCCATTATAAGTGGGTTTTCTATGCCACAAATGTGATTTTGTAAGCAGATTTCGACCATTCGTTTGTTCTATGAAGAAAAGTCAGTTTCGGACCAAATTTATAGGTAAACCGATGTGGAAAAGGTCGTTTTTACATGTATTTTGACGAAAAAATAGCAGTTTTCTCATATCAAAATGTCGTGAGAGGCCATTTTCGACCATTTTTCCCAAAAAAACGCTGAATTTTTTTTTCCATCCATGAAGCGGTGCGACATAGGCGCAAAAAAAAAACGGAAAAAAAACATGTCAAAAAACCCCACTATTTTGAGATATTTAACATTTTATACTTTGAACCCATTTTGGAGGTTCCAATGGGGCCATAGGGGATAAGTTACTGGGCGGCTTTTTTTAGCCCCATCAATTCCCTTTCCAACGGTACCAATGGTTTGGTAATGTGTCAACTACTTCTTAGTTAGTTTTCAGTTGGCGCAAACCCTTTTTTCGATTTTTTCAATTTTTCCAAAAATTCACACTGGGTTAACTCAGAAAGGCGGGCCACTTTTAGGCCTGAGATTTTGGCTTTCTCTTTTTCTATCGGAAACAAGACTCCAAGCCAATTTTCAGCCAATTCACCTCACATTGCAACTCTTCCCTGATTTCGTGTGGAATGGCCGATATGGGAATTAATATCTCTTCTATTCAATCAAATATATAGGAGTCAAGAATATAATAAAAATTGTGCTTAAAAATGGCTTGAAACGAAAAGGGCCGCAAATGATCACTTTGACGGCTTCTGGCGGTTTCTGACGCTGTTACTTGATATGTAAATAATATATTCATAATTTAATGTCTGGAAAAGTTAAAAATGATGTTAGAAGAATATCATCTATAATTTTTACGCCGAAACAATTGATACATTCGGAGTAAATGGTCTGCAAAGCCCATGAGAAGTACTAAAAATTTGCTTCAGACACTTTTGCTCTATTTCGAGTAGTTGAGAAGTTATAGAACTCCAAAAATGCTCGATGATATCGTTTGGTAGCGACAAGTGACTTTGAGCCAAAAAAGTGAGCTAGATTTGATTTTTTTTGGGTTAATGTGTTCAGGAGAGTTGTTTAATTTGACGCTGGCTACAATAAAGCCGAAGAAAGAAAACAAAAAATGGATATTTTTTACGACTTATGGTCGAAAAAATGGAAAAAATCGCCCTTTTTTCGACATTTTGCCCTATAAGCCTAGTCAGATGCAATTTTTGAGGTATAGAATGTTCATAAATTTTGTTACTTGGACTCTTGGCTACAACTTTGCTGAAGACAATAAAACGATATAACCAATAGGGGACGAGTATGGGCCAAAATCAAAGTTGTCAAAATGCGCAATATATGGCTATATATGGAAATTTTCAAATCGATGTAGCGAAAAAAGTTGTTCGGGTTAGGAAAAAGTGGGATGCTGTGAAGCTAGTCCATCGAAGCCCTACATTACGGCATATGCCGTTTCGCTCAACTCGCGCAACCATAGTTGATGGTTCCTTGTAAGCTAAGCATAGAAATTATTCTGTCTTTTCAGTGTAAATCAATAAGTTGTGTTTGACGGTCGCAATTTTTATCTCTTTCCTGCAAAGCATTGGCAGTGTATGACATCATCATTGAACGATTCAAAGCAAACCGAGTATTAAATAACAGCAAACGCAAAAACAGAGAAGAAAAAAAAAACAAACTCGCTGAACAATCGAATTTCCATAAGCAAAGTGTTGTCGCATTTTATCGGTAGAATTTGATTTCGCGTTTTGAAAACGGACACACCGTAAAATTTCCACCTAAATCGTTGAATTGACATAATTTATTTGTTTGATTTTATCCAACTTTGAAAGTGAGGAAAAATAGCCGGTGAACAAATATTGTGGAAAGAAATGGAAAACGAAGCGGAATTAATTCGAGTACTGGAAATAGTTGAATCCGAAATGATATCGCCGCCTGAACCGATCGAAGCTCAAGAGAAAT